CAGTCTGGCCCACTGACACTGCTGAATCACAAAGCCTAAAGTTCATTACACTGGAACGGCTGGGAGCTCCACACACAGCTGCTTTCCCTAGTGGGATCTGAGCAATCTCTAATTCATTTTTGTGACCACAGCGATGATAAGGAGAGAGATCAAAACGTCTACCGCCTTCCACTGAGGTCCAGTGAGAGTTTGGAGGTTGGTATATCTGCGGTTGATTTCTGGTTCACACCACCTGATGAACACATGTGCAGAGTGTGGTCCTCATTTTCTCTTAAGATACACCCGCTGGTCTCTGCCCTGCAAAGAGGTGCAAAGAGGCTCCACAGAGTACCTTAGATCTGACGCTGCCTCTCCTGCCTGGCCACCCAAGTGTACAGGATGTGAACTAATACTTTACAGTAAAGAATTTTTACTCCCTAGAGATAAAAAAAAAAAAAACTCTGGGATGAGTCTGGAAGGCACCCAAAGGTCTGTCAGTAGTTAATGCTAACTGACAGGAAAGTCCAACAGTAAGAGCAACAGGAAGAGGAAACTCTCCCCCACAACATCCTGGATGGCCTGCCTATGTGTGACTGGATATTTTCAGACACTGCGCAGGGTATCTAGAGTCTGTATTTGTGCTCCACAGCTGGTAGTGACATGGCAAACATTTTAGTGTCTCATTAGTAACTTTTAAAAGCATCTGTGTTCCAGCTTGTGTGTATTCACCATTATGCAGTGGTTGGGAAAGTAATGTTGTAACACTGACAGATATTTACAGTTCGTCGTGAACACTTCTGACACAGTTGTCTGTCTGCTGCTTTGCTTGTTTGTTATTGTTGTCTTGCCACATCAGATCTCAGCTATCCAAGCCACTTGAGACAATTCAGTCTCGTTATGAGAGGCTGGGCCGGTTCTCTCAACAACCCGTCTCTCTTTCCACCTTGTTTGCAGAGTCCTATTTAAGTCTGCCTTCCCTTTTAAGTCCCATAGTCATCTAATGGTCAGAGTGTGTGCACCCAGACATCCTGAGTCACTTATGATGCGGGTTCCTTTCTGTGGGAAATCTTGACCATGTGTGCTGTGCTCGATCGCTCATTGCTCATAAACAGTAGGAGCGCAGCCTGTGATGTAAAATAAACCGGCTGCCACAACATGTCGTCGCTACCGTTAACTGGCGTGAAAACAACAACCACACTGCCAGATGAGAGGGCGGCAGCGGGTCACACAACTGCTCTGCTTGAGCACCACTGTCGCTTTGATAGTATAATCCCGGGGCTTCTCCCCTTCTTTGCTGCTGGCTTGCACGTTGGCTGTGATGCAGAGCCTGTCTGTCACAAAAATGAGCACTGAAAAGGTGTAGCTGAAGAAAAAAAAATAAAAAGGCGTACTATGACTGGACGAGATCCCATTTACAGTTAAATGGAAGTCTTTGTCACTATTGGTGGTTCAGTAGGATGGTTGATGTCATAGGGCGATGTAGGGCTGTGTTTGGGGTGGTCACTGTCTATAAATATCATACCCGGGGTGTTCCTCCTCTCTCTTTACTCATGCTCACATACAGTATGAAACAACCTTTTCACCTTGAAAATGTACAGCCTCGTGGTTCAGTGTGTCTATTTCACATCCTCCACCGTCTGCTCGGCTCTATCTATCTACATTCCTCTCTGCGAGTTTCTCTCTTTCTCTCCGAGGCACACAGACATGGGTCTATTTGCTTGAATTTCTCATTTCCTGTTTGGGGTGTGTATCCGATCCCTTGTTCTCGTGCCCAGCACACATCAAACACTCACGCTGCTCAAAATGAGAAATCGAGACAGCCAGGAGGATGCACAGAAAGCATATAAATGAGGGAATGATGGCAAAAGTAGATGTGAATGCCAGAGGGGGGTGTGTGGAGACAATCAGGCTGAACATGTGAGGACAGTGGAAGGGAAAATCCTGACTGATGACACAGTGAAAACCAAAGGAAAAAGAAGTAGGAAATACAAAGTGGTTAATTATAATAATGTCCACAGATATGGCCAAATAAGGCCAGTCTCATGCCAAACACTGAGTTCATACTGCAAGATCGTTTTTCCTCCTAATCTAATTTTTAAGTAATCTTTGCTGTTCGCACTTCCCATAGCAATTCGTTTTTATTTAATCTAATTATCTGTTTAGTCGGTCATTTTCTAAATTTCCTTTAACAAGGCTGTGGTGCCAGTCGATCAGGAGGGGGCTGCTTGGTATGTGCCATAAAAAAGAAAAGAACAACCTCCCATAGTCTGCCTCACATTTCCACCATCAAGAATTGACTCCACTTAGGCTGTGTGTGGGCTCGTACTCAGGTATGGAGTCGTGGTTTCAGTGGCCAATGCAACTATTCTTATTGTATTAGTTCATGAGTCAAAACTGCCTGTTTGATTGGAAAATCTTCTAAAAATAAAACCACATGCCAGTGCATACTCACAGTCTGTTCTACCAGCAAATATGGCAGAAACACTGCTTTTGGGTATCAAAGTTACAGTGCTGAAATCAAAAAATAATATATATGATGAGGGATGGCAGAGTCATTTGAGACAGGTAATTAAAAAGTAGTGATTCATTCTATTGCTAATTGCCAAAAAGGTTTTATGAATCCTCTTTTTATTGGAGAAACAGCATGTCAACAGAAACAGCCTCTGCAACAGTCACTGTTTTCTCAAGCTGTGGATAAATATCAGCAAAACTTATATTTTTTGTCATTATAATCAAGTATAGAAAATAACTGAGCGGTTATTTAGGATTTGGTAGACACTAGACTGTAGCAGCATGCACATCTCCAAATACTCCAGCAATGTTATGCAATGCAGTGTTGTTATCTAAACAGAACGAACAGAATACCAGCACTCACAGATAAACAGTCTTCCTCTTAAATGTGGGGTTAAGTTATTGAGGATTGTTATTTGTTAGACTTAGTTAACTTTAAGTTCACCATAGAGCATCAGTCACTACCGCTTAACTAAGATTGTATTGAATAACTTCATAGTTGTCAGTCTAACTATGTTGTGTGTTTGAATAGAAACGGTAGAAAAGAATTTTAAGAAGTAAATAAAGCAAAAAAAAAAAAAAAATTGTTTATCTGGATTCTTATAAAATCATATCTGCTCACCAGCACTTTCACTGCGACTGTGAGTGACTGCGAGCACTGAAGGTAACAACTTTACTTTAAACTTAAAGCAGCCCTGCGAGAAATGTAAACAGACGCTCAACAAAATATAAACACAATTGCTTTCTATACCCTCCTGCTGTCCCCACCCCTAACCACCCTGGTTACAAGTCCAAGAAACACAGGGGGAAATAGAAGGGGGGGGGGGGTTTAATGTGGAAAGGTAAAGCCAGCAGCAGACTTTTTAGGCAGGTATGCATCACGTTTCTTTTTCCACTTGCATGAAATTTCCAACTCCTCACTCCCCCGTAGCGCAAACAACTTTCAGTGAACATGTGATGTGTCATTTCAGGACGTTGATTTACACACTGGCAGATGGCTATACTGATCAACAGGAGGTTCCACTAGGTCATGAACGAGAGGCTTTGTAATGCTGCCGTATAATGTGAGCAACCCCCGCAATTCGTAGATGACTCAGAGACCATCAGCCAAAAAAAAAAAAAAAAAAATGCCAGCTTACACTTGAACCAAATATCTGAAGCAAGCACAAGCGAGATAGAGGGAAATAAGAAAAAGGAGGAAGGGTGGGGTTCAAGAGGATGAGTTTTTTTTTCTCAATTTATCTTTGATTTAGCTTGAAGTCCTTTGCTCTGCCCACTAGAAAAACATGTGGTTCAAATAAGTGCGACCCCCCACAGACCCCCTCAAGTCAAGCTCTCATTAGTGAATTATTTGGACAGAGTGGAGCAGAGGAGGGGAAACAAGACTCTGTTGCAATTTCAGCTTCTACAAAACACTGGCATGACAGTTAAAGGGGTGGAGAAGACTAAAAGGGGATGTTCAAAACACTATGCAATGGTCTTACATGCTACAGGATAATAAATAGTAAGAAGGTCTGGATCAGGCCTATGTAACATATACTCCACTCACGCTGAGGCCTCATCATTCATTGGCTCGCGGCCCTGGAATGTCACTCACATTCTCCCTGACCTTCATCTGTCTCTTTCTCTGGTTGCTCGTATATCTCTGCACTCCTCCATTTGTGTTTGTTTTAACTTTCTCAGGACCCCTCCAAAGCCCACGCTCATGCATCGTACACCCAAGAGGACAGCAATTTCCCTCCTCCGTCCTCCTCGCCTCGCAAGCCAGATTTTCTCTGCCTCTCTCCCTCCTACACTGTCTCTCCCACTCACTGTCTGCGTTTACTCTCATGTGGGGCTGAGGCTGTAACGTCAGCTCGTTCTCATTCAATCTCACCGTGTTTTTTTTTTTTTCCCCCTCCCTCAAGCACTACTAAAACCATCAGAGAAGTAGACGTAGACGCTCAGACAAAGAGACGAGTCATAGGTAATCTTGCTAAGAGAAAGTGAACTCACACTCTGGGGTTAGTAAGTGCTCGACAAGGGTCACAGTGAGTCACCCGACTGTTTAGCCTCTTACTCTTCACTGCGGGATGTCGCTTGTGAGTCAGGGCAGCAGACTGGACTGGGCTGTATCCTCCGTGTCATATGGTTCTCTTGAACGTCTCTTATTCTGTTGAACTTCTAACCCTAACCATCTAAAACCCAAACATACCAAACCACAAACCAATTCCTCAAAGGGTTGACTTTTCCTTTCTGGTACACAAGACAAATGTCCCTCTCCTGACTTCACCATCCCACAGAACTTTTTGACCACAGACAGTGTGGAGTCTCTGGTGAATGAAAGGTGTTTCAGCTTGGATGTTTTCGCTTAAGGTTGCGTGATGTTTTTGCAAACCAGTTATGTGATGCTGGGGTGCGTCAGATGCCATGTGTGAGTGAGTAAAGTTGTGGGGATGTGCACCTGTGCCATATTTGTCCCCTCACTGGTGTAACTGTGGTTTTCCGGAGGCCGACATTGCTGTGTTTAGATGGAAGGAAACTTGCCTGGAGGCATCTGGAAGAGGACCAAGAAGAATTGTAAGTGGGGCTGTAGGTTTCTGTTACACAAGCCTACATTTTAATTAATTGGAAATTTATTGCTGCTCAGTGAGAGATGGAGACTCAAGAACAGGCTATTTCTAAAAATTAAAACCATAATTCAAGATAAGCCAGGGAACTTTGGCTTCATGGATCACTAATCTAATCGTTAACTAATGATTCAATGACTCATTACTCACCATTTGCACATTTTTCTGGTTAACCAAACATGAATGTAATTCCCTCTATCAGCAGCCTCATTGTTGCCCACAAATTCAACTGGTAATGCTGCCCAGTTTCATGAGCATTTCATGGGCATATGAGTGAAAGTCTATACTGACCCCTGCTGGATAATAAATCAAAAGAACTTAAATGGAAATATTCCTACTTGATATTTTCTACCTTTCTTTTTTAAATGACATTGTCAGTGTCCCTCACATACATACTTTTAATTGAACTAATGGGACACCAAAGAAAATAACTGCTAGACAGGGAAACACGGAATATAGCCACAGTCAATATGAAAACATACAGTCTTCATCTAAGGCGTAGAAACCTCAACACAAGATAACAACAGAAGGGTGCAGTTTAATGTAACCTGGTGTATTATTACCGTAGTTTAGCATTAGGCTTATTAATTAAGAAAGACTCAACTTTGTCTTTTGTTTTTTGTCTTTGTATTGAAGTTTCTTTGTGTTGACTACAATACAAGTTATATTTTTCAAGTAATAAACGTTTTAACAAACTTTAAAAAATTACATGTAATTACAATTTTCTTATGGCTGGAAAATACTTTTTTGTGTCTTCCATATATTTAGACATAATCTTCCTCTTGCAGTGACATTTTTTCATCCTTTAAAGTTAACTTAGATTTTGCGACCTTTGCGACCGTCGAGCCAATGGCGCACGAATCAGAAAACGGCAGTGAGAAGAAGATGGCGGAGGGAGGTAATGATGCAGAGCTACTCAAGGAGAAGGCGAATAAGTACTTCAAAGGTAATTTGGCAGACCTGTCAAGTCAGTGGCTGTTGTTTGCGGTTTGTAACAGATAAAGATGTCACCGCTAATTACAGGAGGACATGATTGTGTTGCAACACGCTCCAACGGGAGCCGGTAGCTAACGTTAAGCTAAGCTAACATCGCTCAGAAAGCATGCTAGCTGTAAACCTCATTCATTGGATTAGCTAGTTCAGCTAACGCTAAAGCATCGTTGTTAACCCACGGGGTCACCCGTGTCTTGTATTTGTGCACTTGCTCAGATTTGGTATCTTCTCTGGTGGCTTCAGCAGTGACCCCTTTATTTTTATTCGGTCGTGCTGTTGGGTTATTGTGTAGTTTTATGGGAGGTTCAGATACAACAACTAGAAATTTCTGCCGCCAGCGACGCATGTGAGCAGCAGCGAGGCTCGTAACGTTCAGTGTTGTATTGCTTATGCCTTTCAATGCATAACATTTCAACTTAGATGTATCCGTTCTTACTAGACGTCAGTTCATTGGGAAAGGGGCAACTAAATGCTAATAGTCACGTTGAACTCCCATTTTGGTCCAAGACTTAGTTTGACTGAGGAGCATCGATAGCATAGTCAACTTCTCTGCCGTTGGTGCCCTGTAACTTAAACTAAGTATATTTCAACCATATGTTCTCCCAAAAGCAAAACACTGGAGTTTTTTGCCAGTGGCATGTTATAGAGTGTGCCTTCATGACATGCTTCCTGTAGGGTGAAGTTTGATGGTTTTAGAGGCCTGGGCATTACCAGGGCTGACGCCGTGATGAGTCAGAGCAGATGTAATGGAAAGGCTGTCTGTAGTAGGATGGGCAGGATTCTTACCCTCCGTCTACTACAGTAAAATAATAAACAGAACAAGGTTAGCTATTTATTAATAATCATCCAGAGTCGTTGCAGTTTGAATGTGCCATCACCTATCCCAATATAAAACTTATTTTTTTTATTTTACATTTTTCATCATGTCAAACTTGAAAACTGTGCCAGTCATGCATTGCTGGCTTATTGTCAAATATTAATACATATTATAACTGGAAAATCTGATTTAGTTTGTTGTCTGTTGGTAAAGGCAGGTATATGACCTGTTCATAAAGTTATTGTAACAAAATTAGATCAACAAGTATGATCAAGTACGCCCAAGTGGGTAGAAACAAGTATTGCACATTCATTCCAAAGTGCATTATCATATTAGCTGTGTGTTGAATTTACAAATGGACTCTTGATCCAGGAAATGTCTAAAATTACATTCTGGGTTTTGTACACAATAGCAATTGTTATATTTAGCAGTTAAATTGGACATGTAGTTGTCCCCCATGCTGAGTGGGAATAAGAATAGCATGCATCACAGTGGTGATATTGGCTTCTAAGCTATTGCAGTTTTTCCATCACATACAGCAGGTCACACTGAACAGACTATATGGCTGTTAAGCACAAGTGCACTCGGTTAGCAGTGGTGTGGCTTCCTCCTTACAGTATGCTCACTAATGGGATTAAAGGATGATTTTCACTGCGTATCATAACTTCCCTTTTGTCCAAGCACTGATGTAAGTGTGTTTGGCCTGGAGCTGAAATATTGTGTATCTATTGACAAAACTATTGATATGGTAACTCAACCTCAAATGTCATTTATGATTTTGATTAGTCTAACACTGTGATATAGCTAAAATGTTGCTCCTGGATTTACTGATACAGTTTTTGTGACTGTACTAGCAGATTGAAATGAACAATCTCTACATTACTACTCTTCACAGCCCATATCGCCCATCCATACTGTAGGTTAAATATTTAATAAAAGCATACAGATTATTGTTAAATTATCCATCTTGAGGTTTTAAATGAAGCATATTATTGATATTGTTTATTTTACTTACAGCTGCAATTAAGGCATATTTTCATTGTCTTTCAATGTATACAATTCTTTGAATTAATAAAATAAATATCATGTACATAAAATATCAAACACATCTTGCTGAACACAAGTCACCAGAGCACAAAGTGTCGTTTTGTCTCAATGTCAGAAACCCAAACCCAAATTCTAGTTGTCAAATTAGAAAAACTAAAGCAGATACCAAGAAATGTTTGGTACTTTCACTTGAAACATGATTGACAGTAAACAGTGAAACTGCAGGCAGTGATTTGTGCTTTCTGCAGCGTGTTTGACATTTTTACAGGGACTTTATAGAACTACAAAGTCCGTGTTTGTCCAGTGAAGATGTGACATTTGTTTTTCAGAGAAAGACTATGAAAATGCTATCAAGTACTACTCAGAGGCCTTGGAGCTCAATCCATCCAATGCCATCTACTACAGCAACCGAAGCCTGGCATACCTACGCACAGAGTGCTATGGTTATGCCCTGGCGGATGCTACGAAGGCCCTGGAGATAGACAAGAACTACATTAAGGGGTATTATCGCCGTGCCACCTCCAACATGGCACTGGGCAAGTTTAAGGCTGCACTTAAGGACTACGAGACGGTAAGAAATGGAGGATCTTTGGCGATTAGTAGGTGCAGACTTTTAGCTGTCATGCACTCTGAACTGAGAACATACAGGACACGAGCAATGTTCACAGTATAAGTAAATGTTTTTCCCTGATTTTCTCAAAAGAAAGAGCTCTCCAGTTCCATCTGTTGATCTGTCACCTTGAGTTAGGCTCTTCATGTTGCCTTAACAGCCCAAAAATAGGGATTATCCTTTAATCCAGTCATGATGCCAATTAGATCCAGTGTAAAGACGCTGCTAATTTGGTGTCTATTGTTGTTCGTGCCGTCTCATAACAAGCAGTGTAAATATACCAGGGCTGTGACAACAAAGACCTCTAAAGCTCAGCCATAGTCATAGCAATTTATTGTACAAACTAGACAGAGCACCATGACAACAGAGAGTTAATCCTCATGAAGCTATGAGAGGTTGGAACTGGATTTATATGTATTTATAGACTGCAACTGAAACTAAATGCCATATAGATTGCCCATACATTCTAAAATATATAGGTAAGAACAGTGAATAACTGTGAATAAATGTAAATGTTGTACATTTACAGTACCAGACAATTATTTTTCATCCAGAAGAAAGTGTTTGCATAATAAAGAAATTAGATCTTTGATATACTGTTATTACCATTTACATTTGGTTCTCTACACTGAGTGAATGCCCTTATGTCTGCCTTAATGCCCATTCATGATGAACCAGTGTGTTTTAATATATGTCTTTTCTCTGTTCTGATGATAGGTAGTAAGAGTTCGACCAAATGACAAGGATGCAAGGATGAAGTATCAGGAATGTAACAAGATTGTGAAACAGAAGGCTTTTGAGAGAGCCATCGCCAGCGATGAGATAAAAAAATCTGTTGTTGACTCACTGGACATTGAAAATATGAGTAAGTCATAAAAAATATATCATCTGTAATCATAACAATCTGAAACAGGAGCTAAGGATAACAAAATGCACTGATGAGAACTATTTGCTGCTTTGCTGTACTTTGTGGCTTTTCATCTGATATTAAGCCGACCTTGTATTGCAGCGATCGAGGACGACTACGTTGGCCCCAAACTGGAAGATGGGAAGGTCTCAATGAAGTTCATGAATGAGATGATGGATTGGTTCCAAGACCAGAAGAAGCTGCACAGAAAGTGTGCTTATCAGGTAAACAGGTTTGTTCATATGAAATACAGCACACTCACTGAGGGAAACCTGCTTGTATCTGTAATTAAACATTTTTGTACTCTTTCAGATTTTGGTGCAAGTTAAAGATGTTCTATCAAAACTACCAAGTTTGGTTGAAATCACATTAAAAGAGGTGAGGATTTGATCTTTAGTGAAGTGAATGAAAGTTTACATTGAACATTGAGTGCAACATTAGAATTTCAATCTTTGATTATCAACTTTGTGGTCGGCCTGTAAGAGGACTATAGACTCACAGCACAACAGCAAATAAATACAAAATATTCCTGTGATATTATTTCTGTTATCATCTTTTGTTTGGACTTGATTTAAAGTCTTCTGTTTTTCTTTGCCACAGACAGAAAAAATAACAATTTGTGGTGACACCCATGGGCAATACTACGATCTCCTCAACATCTTCAAGTTGAACGGCTTACCCTCAGAGACCAACCCTTATGTATCCTTTCTCTTTGCAGACAGTCACACATCAGGCTTTAAATCTGTGTTGAATGTGGTTTTCCTACGTGTTTGTACTATTCTGTGTCTAATATGACAACAACAGCCAACAGCCAAAAGCCAAATGGAGAACTTGTGCGTCATAGTTCTTAACCACAGAATTCAGCTCTTCAATGGTGACTTTGTGGATCGCGGCTCTTTCTCTGTTGAGGTCATTCTTACCCTCTTTGGCTTCAAGCTGCTCTACCCCGACAACTTCCACTTGCTTAGGGGTGAGAGCACTCACTGCCTGCATGTGTATGAGTGAATGAATGCATGTGTAGTGTCTGCAGATGTTGCTGAGTATGTCATAATAGTGTGTCACACTTAGTACATGTGTGTGGGCATTAAGTAGCCATTTTGTGTGCACATGTCACTTGGTTTCTGCTGTTGAATTACAGACTTTGTATTTATGTACAAAGTCGTTTAAACAGAATTATACGATAATAACCAAGGTTGTACCTGCAGGTAACCATGAGACGGACAACATGAACCAGATGTATGGATTTGAAGGGGAGGTCAAGGCCAAGTACACAGCCCAGATGTTCCAGCTGTTCAGCGAGGTCTTCCAGTGGCTGCCTCTTGCACAGTGTATCAATAACAAAGTATTGGTAAGCAATTCTCCATATTAAAAGTCTGATGGAGCCAAAACGTATGACATTTAACTTTACATTAAAATAGGAATTCATCATTTCCAGACTAAAACTTATAAAAATGATTAACTGTAGATGTCACTTCACTGAAAACATTCATACAGTTGAAGTTGCTTTTTAAGAGATTTTAGTTTTGTTATTTTTCAGAAAAGGTTTCAGAATAGAGTAGATGTTCTTTCTACCTCAAAGTGGTTTGGTGTAGTAAAGATACTAGACTAACAAGTCTTATCTTTGCACGCCTTGTTATCCAGGAGAGATGCATTATAAGGCAGAGAAATAGTAGACTTGCAAGTTGACTTCATTTACAATCACTGTGTCTTCTTTAAATATCACAGCTGTTACTGAAGACAGACAAACAGCCATAATTTACCTGAATCTTACTGACACTAGCTGTTGTTATATGATTTCTGCAATCTGCAGTGGTTTGATGTTTTGTACTGTTACACACACACACAGTCCTAATGAAATTCTCCATCTCAGGTTATGCATGGGGGGCTGTTCAGTGAAGATGGTGTCACATTGGAGGACCTCAGGAAGATTGACAGGAACAGACAGCCTCCAGACTCAGGTAGGGGGTCAGACTGCAAATGTACCATCAGTATAAAACTGGTTTTCAAGAAATCATCTCTAGAAAGGAGAACGGCTAGATTTCAACACCTTCCTCCACTTTTTCACAGGTCCCATGTGTGACCTCCTCTGGTCAGATCCACAGCCTCAGGTCAGTTCCCACCCACCCAGCACCTCATTTGGTGTATTTGATTTGATTGAGAGTATCCAGTAGTTTATGTAAGAGCAGCACTGAGTCCACCTCTATCTTGGATTAACAATTTCTCTTTCTCTCCCTCATGCAGAATGGCCGGTCGATCAGCAAGCGAGGCGTGAGTTGTCAGTTCGGGCCAGATGTGACGGAGCGCTTCCTGGAACAGAACAAGCTGGACTTCATCGTGCGTAGTCATGAGGTCAAAGCTGAGGGCTACGAGGTCACTCACTCAGGGAAGTGCATCACCGTGTTCTCAGCACCCAACTACTGGTACGTGATCATGCCGGCTATCTTAAAAGTGTTGAGTCAACTGTTACTGTAGCCATTCACTTTGACTATTGTGTCTTGTATTCTGCCTTCCCGCAGTGATCAGATGGGAAACAAAGGAGCGTATATTCACCTCAGGGCATCAGACCTCAAGCCAGAATTTCACCAGTTCACTGCTGTGGTCAGTATGCCTTACTGTAAAGAGTAATACCCATTAACCACATGTCTGGGAATTGGGATATCTAATTTAAAAGATGTTTTTGTACTAAGATTGGTCTTGTTTTCATAATTTTGTCAGATTTAATGTTTCTCTTCCCCTCATTCTCCTTTACAGCCTCATCCGAATGTCAAACCCATGGCATATGCCAACACGCTAATGCAGTTGGGGATGATGTAGAGGCCACGCTAATCTGTCTGTGACACTGATGACCTCCCATCTGACCCGAACCATCCCAGCCACCTCACTCCTCCAGTGCTTGGACATGCTCTCATTCATGCTTAGCCTAAGGGATCCCTCTCCCCGACCAACTTCCACTAGTTGTATGCAGAAAACGTGTGGTGTAGTTCAAATGGGAAGAGATCACTTAGACCAGACCAGCTCAGCCCAGTCCAAAACTGGACACGTCCTTCCATGTTATTAGTTAAAACTGGAAAACCCCCGCATTTCTATTGTCCTTTTACTCGCTCATGTGTTCCATCACTGGGTAAAAAAACCAACCCTGAGAATTTGAGATGAGTCTCCTTGGAGCTGCTTGGTTTTTAAATATTTGTTATACTCAGCAGATGGTATGTACCAAAGATCTGTGATGAAAATGATTGTTCAGTTTTTACAAGATGCATCTTGTGACTCTGAAACCTAGCATTGTACTGTTGGCCTGTGTACACAGCTTAGAGCATTGTAAACTGGGTTAAGAGCAGCATGTCTATCAGTGTTTCTCAAACCATCCTACAGTATGTCAGTCTTTTTATTTTTTATTTTGCAGGAATACAAAATATAATTACATGTTCTGATCCCAGTCCAAAAAAAAGAGATGGATTGTCTCTGGGTACACTCTGAAAGGTGCTGTTTGCCATTAGTGGTGTATTTAGCTGGTTCATTCATGTAGCTGGTAACATTTATTTTGCACTGCTGCACTGCTTCCTGTCAAGGAAGATACTGCTGCTCTCCATGTTTTCATCCTTGACCGTCATTGTGCCACTCACCCGGCAGCTCCCGCACAGTCTACTCTCCAAACTAGCTTTGGTGTAAGGCAAACACTGATGGCACTCGATTACTGGTGACTTATTACCCCCCCTATGTGGATGTCTTCAGTACACAAACGTCCAAAATGCAATCCTGTCTTGAAACGCACAGCTGCATTGTCCAATGGCCCTCAACTTTTTAGATAAAATACACTGATGTATATGTATATATACTGTATCATTTAAAGATTCCGTGTAATGTTTGGAGAAAATTATTGAATTAAAAAAAAACAAGTCCTGTGATTTTAGAAATAAGCTGGTATCTTTCTTTATGTTTTCACCTTCTACTTATGAAGATGCTCGTTTAAAAAAAAAAAAAAAAACTACCTAATGTTATTTTATTACACATAATTGTCATTGCCAGAGTTGCGTTTCTCCTAGTCGCATTTATTTGACGTCACGCGTCTGAACAGCTGATCGTCAGTCGTCAACCATGCGCCACGCGTTGACAACACACAGCACGAGTTTCACCTTGTTGTGAACCCAGTTGGACGCGGAGGAAGCGGCCGCAACGACGCCGACCCGAGATGCCGAAATACTGCTCGGTCCCAAACTGTAAGAATGACTCCGGGAACGGCAGCGACAGGAAGAGCTTCTACAAGTAAGATGTTTGAGTTTAAAGAAAAAGTGTTTTAGCTAGCTCACTTCGCTGATCAGGTGCCGCTGCTAGACGCATCATCTAACTTTAAGAAACGCTGTCTCACCACGTCGAGTTTTACAATAGTTTGGCCCATTAATATGAAGTGAAACATGGCAGTCGTAGGAAATTAGCATTTACCCGCGCCGTGTGATCGCTTGGTTATCGCTATCGTTATCGTTTGTGTCTTCTGATCTTTTGACAGTCCTGATTGAATCACGATATGGAGCCTCAGTTTGACTGACGGGCAAATTCAAGACATACTCAGCTTGCAGTTTATTAGGTAAAGCTGTTATCACCACCTTTGTAAGCAGTTTTTATTCAAATTGTTTTTGAATTGAGGTGTTGTTCCAACTTCATGGTCAGTTAGTGAAGCCGGAGTTTCTATGGTTTTTGTCAATGAGGATAGGCCAAATATCAGAAACACCTCTGTGTAATGTAATAGAGTTCACCAGCACCACAGTGTTTATCATCTGACATCAAACAGTTGGACAACACCTCTGTGAAACAGCTTAATAAACTGCCAACTGGAAATGTCAGTTTTATTTTGTGGATTCCAGCCACGGTTTATCGATCAACACGACAAATTGTAGTGATGTCATCATCTTAATCCTCGAGCTGGATCAGTCAAGTAAAGTCAGGTCAAATTTGATTTATTACTTAAAATCATAAATTTGCCTCAAGCTTAACAATTTAGAAAAAATTTTAAAAAAGAAATAATTAAACAATAATAAAAATAAAAATCCTCAAAAACCTGACCTGACTTGACTTGATTATAAAATGTAAGAAACCTCAGGAGGAGCAACAGTCTGTCTCTACCTCCTCCATGACAGACAGACATGCAATAGATGTCATGTGTACAAAATAGAACAACAAAGTAGATTTACACTATGGACAATTAGGATGACAACATTAAAGATTGTAAACATTAATGAAGAATATGGTCAGGGTGGACGTCGAGCAAGTCCCAGGTGGCGCCAACAGATAGGACCTGAGTCACACACTCTCCTCTCCACCATGAAGACCTGGAAAGAGGACGGCCTACGCAAACACACAGGAGGCAAGACCAAGCACATCATTCACATGTCCAGGAGAAGGAAACAAACACACAGCTGGAGAAGGAGAAACTAGGAGGAGGCTGGGAGTCCCGGAGGACGAAGATCCAGGTCCGTAACATCTGGAAGTGAAGAGAGCGAGAGAAATAGACACAGAGCCTGGACACTCATTTAGTAGTTAGAGTTTACAGTAATGTTGACGGCAGAACAACGTGGACTATACTGAACATTTAGGCTTAATGGATTCAATAAAATAAAAATGAATGCAGTAGCCAAGCTCTGCAGGAACGATGAGCGCTGTGGCTTTGTTGTATTTGTCAGTATCATCTCAAAATGTCTTTCTGATATTCTGTCAACCTCTCACAAAACACTGGAAACCTTTAACTTTTGACTGGTACTGTGTATCTAATCATACAGGGTATTATTGGGAATTGGTGGGTCTCTGTAATCAATGTTATAAAGCGTATGCTTAGACCTGTAGTTAACGTTTGTTGCGGTTTGGTGCTACATAAATAGAAATTGACTTGACTTGAATACAGCATCACTACTAACCACTGCCCTCAAAAGTGCCTGCGCTGGATTGAATTACACTCTGTACCGTGTCACAAGCCGAAATGCGATGAGTCCACAGAGTCAGTCAGTTACCCGATGGCAGCATCGGTTTTGAAGCTCCGATTTCCAAACATCTTGACAGTATTTCACTTGAAGGAGCTCAAGTGAAACCAGCGTCTCACATCTGTATCGTCTTTTAGGTTCCCTCTACAGGACCCGGTCCGACTGCAGCAGTGGCTGAGGAACATGGGACGTGAGAACTGGACTCCCTCTCGACATCAGTACATTTGCCACGAACACTTTCCACCTTCGTGCTTCAAGGTGCGATGGGGGATCCGTTACCTGGAGAGCGACGCTGTGCCCACAGTCTTCCAGGAGGCCGAGGTAAAACAAAGAGACCTACCACAGTCTTATACTGAGATTTTAGGGCTGCACAAGATTGGCAAGTAATTATATCTGTGTTATTTTGCTGAATACCAAAGTCATGAAGAAATGGCTATTCAAGGGAATTTGTTATTTAATATTTGTACCATCTGAATGCATTTTTCTCTACAATCTTTGTTTCATTTATAGGCCAGAGGACACAAAATTGTGTTTAGGTCTTCAGCCATCACCTCTCTGAAGTATTTGTGCTTTATGCAGCATGGAAGTTTCTTTCTCTGCTCAGTTAAATGTGCAGCTCTTAAACCAGAGGAGGCAGAAAAGGGTTTTTGAATGTTTTTTATTATTCTAAACAGAGTGAGTTAAAAAAAAAAATGACAGTAAATTCACCACCTCTTTTTTTTTTATTATCTGCACTTAAAATGATGTTTACATGTTGAATTGATCATTTGCAATTTACAAAGACTTACCATACTTTGGCCAATTCTGATGACGTTCCTGAGTCAGTAGGAAAGTGTTGCGCTTACAATAATAAACTCTTAAGTTGCTGCTTCTTTTTAGAAACGGAAAGCCACGGATCAAAGCGAGAAGACGCCAAAACGCCTTCGCGCTGACGGTAATCAAAGCATAATGGTGTCAGGTGACAGGACGGGGGCTGTCGACGCTGTGGAGGTGGAAAGTACGTTGCACACGGTGCACTTGTACGAGATCACCGTCGACCCATCGCAGCAGGGCAAAGCCAGCCTGGTGGAGCCGAGCGATGTTGGAGAATCTGATTCTTCTCTCAGGACAGAACTGAACACGCTGGCATCATTCGACGGATTCGAAACGGGGGCAAATTTCCCTTTAACCTTATTCCAGACAGTAGATGATCTGAGTAATAGTGGAGAGAACACAGAGGTGGTAGTGATGTCTGAATGCGCTGTTGGCGAGGGGCAAGATGAGCTTGTGAGTGGAATCGCTGCTGCCATTTTAACTCAGGGCCACGGGCTGGTCTCGAGTGACTCCACACTTGGCTGCGCCGATGAGGCTGCGGCCTCTCTCAGTGTTGAAGATGCGACTTGTACCACGGAGGAGTTCTTAGATATCCAAGAAGGCCATGAAACGCAAGTCATCGCCTACTTTGAGACGATACCAAACGTTTTCCCCGGTGAAACCTCCACCAAGTTCACCTTCTCCCCGGACACAGTGCTGTCATCCGCTCTGAGCTCCAAGCCCATCACATCCACACTGCCTATAGTGTCCAAACATGTACCACCTTCCCCCGCGTCCCTGGTTCTCACTGTGGAAAGACTGGACACAGACAGCGGAGAGGGAGATGATGACAAGTCAGAGGACGATAGCCTAGAGAGGCAGGATCACCAGCTGGAGGAGCACTGGTGAGCACCGACACAAAAAGTGAATCTCAACATAAAAGCATTGAAATTACTGCAGAAGAGCAGTTCAAGTATTCATGCTTTACTCTCCTGTATTCTCTCACTGTGTTACAGTTTTTACAGTCTCTTTGCATTTTTTTTTTCTTACATGAACAGCTACCATAAGAACAGCCTGAGTAAAGAGCAGCTGGAGGCGATTGTGGCCGAGCTGCAGAAAAAGGTGAAAGTGCTGCAGCAGCGACACCGACGACACCTGGAGAAACTTCTGGGTCTGGAGAACACGGTTAGCCAGCTGAGGCAAAGCAACCTGCTGAACGAAGAGCGACTGCAGCTGCTCGAGAGGGTACTGACACGAATAAAGTTATTTCAAAATAAAATTTCTAATCGTTATTCTCAGGTTTCCTCTAGCTGGCGGAATAAAAGTGTCCTTGTATATTTTGGTGTTTGAAAATGTCAAACTTTGCCTTGAGTCTTTGTTGTCTCCCCTTCCCCTCAGGCTTACATACAGACCAGTGCAGCAGTGACAGAGGCCGGTGAGACTGTGGCCATCATCTATGAGGAGGACGATGCTGCGTACTTTTACACTCCACTGATTGATGCAGGGGAAAAGCTGTGAGGCCCAACTGACTGTGCACATCCCATCTGTGTGTCTGTCTGCTGCCCGTCGTGCTAAAAATTAAGCGACATGGCTAACGCTGTTGAAAACAAAATGCTACCTAGTTGTGTGTGTTTTTTTTTTTTTAGTTGTGTTTTGTTTCCTCTTAACAAAACGAGCTCTGTGTATGAAATGTGGCAGTGCCTGTTGGATCTGTTGTGAGCTTTGCACAAATAATGGATGAGTAATATGGGACAATGTTGAATGTGTTTTTATAAGAGTTTTGCCTCTACCCCGCCCTTCCTTCTACCAGTTTGTGTTTGACTTATTAAAGTATTTTTTGTTTGTACATATCAAATTAAAAAAAAAACAACTTTCATTTAGGTTTGTGCTTCATTTCTGTATTTGCTATAAATTCGTATTAGTTATTAAAAGAACCAAAGATTATACAGCCAAGTACAGGCGTATGAGAAAGAGTGATTTAATTATCACTGACAGTTTTGACATATTCTCCTCACACAGCAGGATGGAGTAAAGGAAATGAATTAACAACCTGTTTTATGAAGGTAAATATTTTACCAGTTGCAGGTCTGGTTCGTGGAATTTCAGTTCTGTTTCCAGGTAACACTGAGCATGTTTCTACATAATGCTTCGATTCAACAGTGACAGGGTGGAGCTGATTTGAGCACAGCTGTCAGCTCAGCTCATAGTTTCTAAAACAGGTTTACTGTGTGCATGAGGATTTGTCAGGTAGTTCAGTATTGATGCAATCTCCATATCGGTACAATTGGCTCCAGTTTTTGCCTTTCAGGGAATTCAAACATGAAAAGACCATTTAAGAGTAGTTGTGAAGATAAATCTTTTTTCTAAATAGTATTTTTTATTCCAGGAAATCTAATGAACTTAAAACTCATAAGGAAACAGCTACAGGAATGAACTTGATACTCATCAAATCTAATAGTTTTACTGGGTTATAGATCACTGTAGTTGGGTTCATCCTCAAAATCTGAGGTAGTTCTGGACTCAGCAAAATGATCCAAATTACTCAGAAAACTTGCTTCTTGTCTTGAGTTTATGCAACAGGTGTTTTTCCTCTAATGATTTACTTTCTGTCTCTCCACTAGGTGGCAGCAGGAGCAGCAGCTGTATCAAGCTGTAAATCTCATCTGGATTACAGGAAGAAGATATTCCCCGCATCATAAGGGTGATAGATCAGCATTCATCAAAACCAAATCTGAGGCAGGAGGTGGACTAACGAGAGGAAACGTCTGAAGAGGCTTCTGTTGAATTGAGAAACCAAGCAGAGAAAGGAAAGGAGATCCGAGGTGACGAGACTTGCTGCACCCACACCCACACTGCTGGTTTATTGAACAACCATTACCATTTACACTTGTGAAATTTTTCTAAATTTTTTTCTTGCATCTTCTCAGAGAAAAAGAATTTCATTTGCCTCTCAGGGGTTGTTGATACAGATGAAAACCAAATGTGAACGACAGATGTAGCAGCTACTGGAAATGTCACCTGTTACCTTTCCACTGCCTGTAAAGTGTAGTGTACATTCCTTCCTTTGAAAAACATGGGTAGATTCAACATGAGCAAAGTAATAAGAAGAACATGGTAACAAGACATCTAAGCTCTAAGGAGTCAACATCTCCTGTCACGTCTTTGCTGGTGATTCACAGCTGTACCTCACACTCAAATCTAGGAATACAAGGACATTTAAGGCTGGATGGCAAATCATTTCCTTCAGCTGAACAGTATACAATAGAGTAGGTCCACGCACTGTTAAGCTCCCAATGAAAACTTTTATTCTCTTATAATGTTTCCACAAGAGAGTAAAAGGAGAGGACGGTCCTTTATTGTCCTTTCATCCACAGTTGACAGCAGCAGCTCAGGTGGTAAAAAGGAAGAACAATAAATAATAGTGACACAGACAAGAAAAGACCTTGGGTTTAGTAAAGAGGTCCACACAACAAACAATAACACAAATTTCAATCTACGTCTTCATATCGTAGACCATACTACAAACTAGCACTAACACCAATGACTATGTCTTCATATCACAAACTATTCTATAGATTAAGTCACTTTCTTTCCAAGTCAGGAGCTCACGCTCACCTTCTCTGTCGTCAGTGAACAGCAGCTCAGGGGTCAGAGTGAGAGACAGAGCAAAGAGTAATGATCAGTGAGACAGACCAGTAGATGAATAAGTGATAAATAATTGATATTATATGAATAAACACACATGTAGCTAATATACACATTAGTATAGATTACTGTCGCTACATTATGTTGTTGCACACTTTCTTTAAGTCAGAGGCTCATACTCACCTTCCTCATCCACAGTTTACAGCAGCAGCTCAGGTGGTAAAAAGGAAGAACAATAAATAATGGTTAGTGAGAGACAAATAAACCTTTGAATTAATAAACATGATATTATATGTATAAACAGGTGTAACATACAGTGTGTAGCTAATATTACTTTCTATGTTTTTATATTAAAGACTATTCTAGATCACTTAATGAGACTAATTATCTTAAGTAGATAATAATAATAACAATAAATATACTTAATATAAGAATGAACAGGTTCACACAATAACACCAATGTGTATGTCTTCATATCACAAACTATTCTATAGATTAAGTCACTTTCTTTCCAAGTCAGAAGCTCACGCTCACCTTCTCTGTCGTCAGTGAACAGCAGCTCAGGGGTCAGAGTGAGAGACAGAGCAAAGAGTAATGATCAGTGAGACAGACCAGTAATCTGTGAACTGCTAAATATGTGATATTATATGAATAAACGTGCATGTAGCTCGTTCTGTATACACATTATCATACATTATTGTATTTATATTATAGTGTATTCTAGGTTTATAATGAGTAAATTACTGAGATATCAGACTGATAATTACACTTAATGTCACTTTTTTTTTTTTTTTTTTACATAAAGGCATGTGATGTGGACAGTTGAGTGATTTTGTGCCAGAAGTGCATGCGTAATTACGCACGCTGAACGACTGGCATTTTAATTAAATCATGCATTAACAACTTCCACAAAAACATCTGTACTTTTGTGTGAACCAACTAGTCTCTTGATGCTGCTGTGCTGAAAATACCAAATCATATTTCAATACAGCTATGCATAGCACAGCAATAAATTATTAAAATGACATGCCTCTCTAATCAAGTACAAGCTGTAAGAGTTGATCACTGGACTGTTGTTGTAGCCTCAGTTCAATAACACTTTTATTCACTTACAACACTGATCTATTGCTGCGTTTTTGGGAGTTTGTCTGAGAATTAGTTCAAAAATGTGATAAACTGTTAATTTAAATGTCTCAGGAAACATTTGAAGCTAAATTCCAACAATCCCAACAAGCAAACTGGACCTTCCACACAGAGGAGCGGACCTTGCACTGGTTCGGCCTGCACGTTCTGACGTGCCGATGTATATTCCATCGTCTCCATGGTCACAACAAAAAAATTTTTTTTTGGCATTTTTCAAAAAAAGGCCCGGTCGCCATCTTTTTCCCTTAAAATTTCAAAGCCAAATTTGGAAACTTGGCGCAATCAAATGAAAATAACAATATTTTCAAGTCAACACACAATTGTTAACACACTCCACACCTGACCCGGGAAACTGAGCACGTTCTTACTGTGTAATAAAAGTTTTACACCAAAAAAACGTCGAGTATCAGTCAAAACTGTGTTTTCCTAACAGACCCACTAACATTCTAGTAATGTTTTATCTCTATATTCAACAAGTTACATTTATTTACTGCTAATTTTGTACACAAAACACCTTTTTTTTTAGATCCGGGAGATTAATTAATGCATTTGGCATAAAATTAGAAGATACCTGCAAAGGAGGTGATCCACCGTCTGAGGCGGGTCAAGCAGGTGCTCCTCCATGGGGGGTCCATCCAAAGCCATTTTCAGCAGATGAAATTTGCAGGAGTTTTCTGTAGGTGTCTCTTCTGTGTAGTTTTCCAAGGTTGTTTTCCTGAGGAGGTTTGCAGAGGTCTTCCAGGGGATGCGCTGTTCCAGAGTTCGACTTTTCAACAGACAAGTCTTGCAAAGGGGTTAACTCAGGTCAAGTCCAAGTGCAAATGAGAGAGTGGACAGGTCTGCAGCTCGGTCAAGCGTCACCGTTCTGTTGCCATGACTTTTACAGACGTACGTGCGTGTGCGCGAGAGACAGAGATGATGAGTGTCAATGGATGATACAGACACATTGTTGGACACCTCTGTGAAGCTATGATCTTAAATTTCCTCTGAAGGTCGTGAGGACCTGCAGCAGCTCTGCGTCTGTAATGATAAACTACAGTTCAAGATTACATCTGTATTAACACATTGGTGTTGCATCAAGTTGTTAAAGTAAAGCAGATCCAGTAGTTGTCTGTTGTATTTCAATTGTGCTATAATAAAAAGTTTTTAGATTTTTGAATGAAAAATTAGAGTTAGAAGTCATTGAAACACCTGCAGAAACTTTATAACATCAGATTATCAGATGTCAGAATCACAAAAATCTCAGCTTTCCATCAGGATGCATTAAACACACTAATGCCACTTCCTCCATCTCATCATCCCCTTTCAAAATAAATCATAATTCTTATTTTTGCAAAACAAAATGAATGACACAGAAAAAGAGATTTAGATGTCAAATCAGAGCGAGAAGAGGAACAGTTTGTGCTTTCAGTCTAAATGAATGATTTTAGTTGTGTCACTTATTGCACAACATATGACAACAACCTATAATAACCAGTGTAGTATGCTTTACATTAAACTGCTGCAACTGAAGATTTCTTGCAGATTTTGAATCCAACCACCTGAGGGCAGCAGAATATTTTCCCCTGATTGTTTCTTTGGACAAATCCCCCTCCGTGTGCCTTATTGTGAAAGGTAGGTTTTATTGCACTCTCCTCTTTTGATGCAGTCATTTTAAAATTAAGAAGAATATGATAAAAGAAATAAAACAATTCCTTTGAATTGTAACATTGAGACCTTCAAATCTGACTGAGGAGGAATTTTTTGATTGACCTCAATCTGTCAAAGTGTCTGATGTATGCACTATGTTTATCTTTTGATGTGATATCCTAACATTCATTTCATTTTTAAGGTGCCTCACTGAACTCCTCTGGGCCTGCAGCAGTTCAGTGAGTGGAGAAGGTCACTCATTAATGTGGTGGGGTTACTTTTTGAACCGGCAACCTTATAACCCACCTTTTCTCTTCTCTCCATAGATTCCTGTCTCACCAAAACGAGCTTTAACCTTACTAGTTCTACCACAAACCTGAGCGGTGGTGAGCGTGAATGTTTCTTATCTCTGCACAGCTGGACAAACACTGTGCTGGAATGTAAGGGAGGGAGCTGGATTTATTAGCAGGTACATTTGCTCACTTTTTCCTCACCAATGAGCTAATAGGCTGACACGCACACACACATGCGTGCATACACATACGGATTTTGCCAGTACAACTTGACCTAAGTAATACTGTGGCACATACCTTTCTGAACAGCCATCCTCCCTTAACTTCCTCACAGTATTTTGGTAAAGACTAATGATGGTCGCCTCAGAGATTTAATGGGGTTTTCACCTCCTGATTAGTTATAGAAAAGTTATAGAAAAACAAATCTTAATTTTCAGTGTTATATCTTCTTTGTCTTAAATTGCTTGAAAGAAAAACACCAGTTTGATAATCTGGTTATCCTGTCTGTCGCACCTTTAATTGTACTCTTTAAATTGAATGTAGAATACATAATTACTTAAATGTATTCCATTAAATAACTGTAATGCAATGCAAAACTTATTCTTATTCAAGAAGAGATTTTTTTTTCAAGAAGTGAGAGTTATTCTTACAGCATTTAAGATTTGCATAATAAAGCTAAAGACATTAGGAGCAATGACAATGACAATATTAAGGTGATTTTAATGTGTCAGAATGAATGAACAAATTACAGTGAATGGATAAAATAGCATGATATAATTCAATTTAACAACGATACCGTCTTTGTTGTGTAGCTGTTGTGTTGTTGCTGTTATTGTGCTTACAGTATTTCCTTTGGCAGAGTCACAGATCAGATTTCAAGCTTAGACAGCCTTTCGGTTTTGTGGCTGTTATAAACCAACAAACCTTACAGTTAATGTTTTAATGTTTTGAACTTTTAGTCAGTGCTCTGTCTCAGAGAGGAACAAACATGACGGAGAGATTCAAGTATAGGAATATTTGAGTGATACAGGTGTGTCTATGTGTGTGTTTGTGTGTGTTTGTGTGTGTGTGTGCGTGCGTGCGCACATAACAGTAAATATCATGGTTGTGAAACCTTCTTGTTGAATTTGTTGGATCAGTTCCTTTGTGGCTCTGTTTAGATTTGGATTCGGGTTTCTTGCGATTGCAGGCAAGAAACCTCAGTTCCCACTGAATGGACACAGTGAGCCTGTGTTATTTTCAGGGAGGTGGGGTGGGGGGGGGTTTTCCTTTCTGACTTCAGGTGCCAGGCAACCTCTCTGCCCTTCACATTCCCCAGTATCGGTCATGTGACCAGAGTTTGGCCTGAGCCAGCGGAGCATGACCACAGACACTCACAGAAAGCCCTTTACCTCAGTCACCCAGGTTTAGGTATTTGATGAGATTCAGTTTCATCGTAGCCTCAGGGACTTTTACGTGGTCACTGTTTGATTTATAGTTTTGTTGGTACATGATTGACGATTTTTGAGTTTCTTGTCAAAACATGAAAATCTCGACCTTTCTCACTCAAAAAACTCTAAACAAAAAACAACAGAAAACAGTCATACAGTTTATTAGACAGCAAACAGTAAAGATTTGAAAATGTGGAGCATTTGTGTAATTTCCAGTAAACCCACGTTTCAGGATAAGTGAGAGGAAGATTTTTTTCAGCAGATGAATTTCTAATAACTAGTAATACATTCAAAGATTGCTGCAATTTTATGCATTTTATGTTTTAGTAAGGTCACACAACCGGCCATGTTAGCATGCTATGCATTTACCATGACATACATTACAGCTTTAGACTATCTGACTTCATCTGAACACAAATCAAAAATTAACTTGTTTTGTCAATTGTCCAATCTGAAATATATTTCCTCATTTGTGATTCGGTCTTAAAGATCCCATATTGTATTACATGTGTTGTTTGATTATAGATCAGGTCTAGGTTCTATATTAATACTGTGAAAGTATCAAAGCCTCAGTCCACAGAGAAATGCACACAGCCTGTATTCAGAGACTGAGCCTTAAAACCAGCCATCAGGACTTCTATAACTTTGTGATGTCACAACTATACCTTCACTGCCCTGAACCATGCCCCCAGCACAGCCAGAGCCTCTCTTCTGATTGGCTCACCAACCTGTTGTAACTAGAGCTCTAGCAAGAATCCTGAGAGAGGAGATGTAAAACTACATTGAGATGTTGTGGAAAAGTGTAAAATATGGGAACTTTAAAATGTCTTTCTGAATTCTGAGAATCTCAGCAACGGGAAATCTTTTTTGTCTTGATGCGTCTAAATGACTGTTACATGTCTCAAAAGTCAGATATTCCATCCAACTGATTTGTTCTGTGAACTCATTCCTGACCGAACCACCAATCCTCTACCGACCTGTTGCAGTTTTCTCTGGAAAGTCGTATCTATTAAAAAAACCTTTGAATATAAACTTGTGGAATACTCATTACAATTTAAAATGAGCTCTGCTCTGTAGTTACTGTAATGATGACCAGATGTCAAGCAGTTCCTTGTCCTTGGTGAGAGGTGATACTGATATTGGAGTAAGAGACAACAGTTGGAAAGTAATGTGATACAGCAAGGGACCTCTCCCATATTTACTATGAGATGTTCATGAATTTTTTAAGTTGCTGCCGTCATCAGGTGTGACTGCATGTGTTTTTGGAACAAGACTGAAAGACTCGACTCACGTCTATCATGGAAACTCTGGCTCATAGGGTCTTTTGAATCTTCTGGAGTCTAAAGAACTGTGTGCTGCTTTGCTGCATCTCCTCATTAGAAACAGCTTGTAAAACAGGACAGTGAAAAAGTGGAGGGAAGTTACATCCAGGAATCTGCCAGGAGGCTCCAAGCTGGAACAGTGTAGGCTGGTCCCCTGGAAGACAAAGTCTTTCACTTAAAAATACCCTGTGCTTTTGCAAGGCACCTCTGATTTTACCAGTACATCCTGTTCAGTCATCAGCAGAAGTGTGTGGTGATACAGGGCAGCTCCCACAAATGAACGTGTTTAATTGTATAAATATGTGGCAGGGTGTTAGAACGAAGCATGCCAGCTCAGCCAAGCATCCAATGATAACTAAAGTCAAAAGGGTGAGAAGACAAATAAATCATGTAACCTGCCCAGCATGACTTCCACTCCTCTGTGCTCACACTTCTCACCCCTGCCCGTTAACTGATCCTGTAGCTAATTGTTTAGCGCGCATGTGGTTAAATTGCCAGTTGGAGGTAACGTGGCCCTCAGGATTGAATGTCAGGGTTCTCTTACAAAGGATAGAACGCACTCCGTCATTTTTTGTTACCGGTTTACTGACTCATGCTGAGGTGAATACGCAAAAACAAAACCCTAAACGGAGCATTATCTTAAAGCATAAGCAAATGAAAGGGTAAAAAGACAAGACAAGCAGTATCTTAAAAAAAAATCATGTTTATTTAAAAAAAACAAAAAAAAAAAACACTTGTGAGATACATGTACGGCAATGGTATATAAGACACAAAGATAATCATTGTTGTGGTGCTTTTGTGCTGCCTCAGTGCACACTGCCACCTCCCCCCCCCCTTAACACACTGCACGAAAACCTGCGTTGGATACAGTTACTGTCTGTCGTGACTGTTACAGGTGATCAATGATATTCAGATTACAGTATTTACAACACATGATCCTGTTGGTAATGCTGCTGTTCAGTTCTTCCATTTTGTACACAGAAGTGCCTTATTATGAAGGTGACACATGAAGCAGTGATGGCGATCTTTATAAAAAACTATTCAGTCGTAAACGCTCGTAAAACTTAAAAAACAAAATCTTTTGGATTTGTTTTGAAACAAACAAAATTCCACTCAAATCCTTTTCAGTCTCTGAAAAACAAGGAGCCTAATTCAGAGATACTTAACATTAAAGGCAAATTCAAACACATCCTTAATTGCGGAGTCTCCTTTTTTCCTCAGTACGCCCTCAGCTTGGTGTGGGGAGCAGGTGTGAGATTCAGTAATGTCTTTTCCCTCTTCACCTTCGTTCATACGTAGTCTTTCCTTTCTAACCCTGGGCCGCCTGCAGACCGCGGGGCAGAGTAAGCCATTCTTGAAGGGTTGTATCTGGTCTCACGTGGCGGACAGGAGCAGCAGAGGAGTCCGCCGCCAAGCACCAGGAGGGCAGCAGCTGCCCAGCCGATGTACAGCGCGGCCCCGAGCTCCCTCCGCTGAGCATCAGGAAGTAAAGGGTTGTAGAAGTCCCTGATGATGGTGTTGGCCGACCAGGAGACAGGAATGAGCTGCATGACCCCGGATACAATGAAGAAGACCCCAGAGATGATCACCACCTTGGCCTTGGATGCCTCGTCGTCAATGCAGTTGGTGCACTTGGCCCCGGCGATGGCGATGAGCACGGCCAGAATGGCGAGCAGGATGGAGATGACGGTGAGGGCGCGGGCAGCCTGGAGGTCTTGGGAGAGGGCGAGCATGGAGTCGTAGACCTTACACTGCATCTGGCCTGTGCTCTGGACCACGCAGGTCATCCACAGACCCTCCCAGATGATCTGAGCTGTCACGATGTTGCTGCCGATGAAGGCCGTCACCCTCCACATGGGGAGGGCGCATGCCACAATGGCAATAATCCATCCCAAAATGCAGAGAGAGATACCAATCAACTCCAGCCCTATAGACATACTGAAACGTCTTCCTGTCCTGCTGCTGAATGTGTGTCACACCTGTGAGGAGGTCACAGAAAAAAAAATCTGCTGAGTGGAAGAGTCAACCAGAGACCAGTAATCCCAACTAGTAATTAAGTTAATTTCAGGCTTCGCATCTGTGAGTGTGTGATGATCTGTTGCCTCGACTTCACCAGTATCCTTTATAAGGCAGATCAGGTGTGGGGGCGGAGTCTCTGAAGGAGCTGACATCACCAAAAGGGGGAGGAAGGACCTGGACACTCTCAGAAGTCTCTGCTATCAGCTTACACGGCCAGCTTCACAAAGGGCCTGGCCACAAAGAGGCCCTGTACAGCTGAAAGGGCACCGAGCTTTGCACGTGTTGTTATATCAAAACAGTTCTCTTATTGTATGATTGAAAACGTGGGTATTTCATTTTATTTAGTAATGTTGTGTTCATATTTGTACACACCTCAGTGCAAAAAGATTGGCTGATTTATCTTATAAATCAACAGTTCTCTTTATGGTGCTCATGAAACAGGTTGTGAATGGATTCTCCTCATTCGAATCGGAACGTGTTAATCACTGAAAAACTAAAGTACCTCATAGATCGCTTCCTCATCATGAGCTCAGGTCTCTGTCTGCAGCTCTCGTGATGTTTTTTTTTTTTTTAATGACTAATAATTTAAGAATGCCTAACCTCTATTTCTCAGTAACAGCCTCCTCACCGTCTTATCAGAGCTGTGTGGTGCAAACTTTACATCTCCGAAATACATCTGGCTTTCGCATTGACTGACATATATGCAATGAGGTTTTTTTAAATGTTTCCTGAGACCACGGATAAAAGAACTTTCTTAAACTTTAAAGGAAAGTGTGATAACTTGGAGTTACGAGGTCCTCACCGGACAGCTGACCTGTTATGTTTGATAGGCCCTAATGACTCTGTCTGTCTGTCTGCAGAATGCCCTTGAAATTCTTTGAGGCTGGGACTGTCTCCCTTGAAATGCCGCGCGACCTCCTTTAGCATTCTGTGGCCCCAGTGTTGACAACCCCCCACCCCCACCCCCACCCCACTCACCCAGTCTCCCCCTCTGACATGAAATGGGTCCATTGTTTGGGAGCGCAGTGCAGATAGTCGAGTGTGGTGGCAGCTGACAAAGCAGTGGTTCTTGTTATCACAGACCCAACAGACATATGGGAGACAGCCAGGTGAATAGGTGCTCCAGTTGTCAGACTAATGGCTGGGTATGCAGGGTGCACGGAGTCAGACATTTTTCTTTGCACCTGTTTCTATACAGAGTAAACATCGTCCTGGATGTATTTTGGATTGTGCAGTTCCAATTTCCCCATTGGTGTCAGTTCTGTTATGAAAAGATTATAGATGAATGTGTAACAATGTATGACTTCGATCTACCATGACCTGCTTTTTGAATTATTGACTATGGGCGCATGCAGTATAGACTGTGTAATAGAGCACTGGTTCTCAATTTGAGGGCTCAGGCCACCTATGAGGTCCCAGTAGAATTCAGGGCATAATGTTTAGTTTTTTTGGTCTTTGGTCTGATATTTCATATAATTTCTTCAAACTTTGGAATACAGAATGTGTCAGCCTCTCAGCCTTAAATGTTAAAGAAACAGACAACTTAAGTCAAAAAAAATCAAGGCCTTTAATGAAAAAAACACGTCAAACATTAAAACATTTCAGATGAACTGATTTAAAAAATGTATGGATAACAAAACTACATTATGTGGCTTCACATACCTCCAATCAAATCTGAAATTCTTCATGAAACACATACACAGTCAATACAAAAAAACTAGAACCAACCTTTCTCTAAGTGTGTGTTACAATGTATACAATTCATTTTAGTAAGTATAAAGTAAGTATAAAATAAAGGCGACAACACATCACTAACATACAGTTGTTCACTTCACGGCTCCCAACAGTGACAAAGTTGCACACAATAAAATTAAGGGAAACAAGTTTGTTCGAAGGGACATATGGTGACATGAATATCAGCTTTTCCTCCATCTCAACATGAAGACAACACGTGTATAATTTATAAAAAATGACTGTACTCTCCAGTTCTCTTTGATCAGTCTTTTCCATGACGGCAGAGGGTGTGAGAAAAGAGCAGGTGTAAGTTCAGACGTAGTTTCTCCTGTTGTAGTCGCTCTGGGCGATTGACCTGGTTTGCGAGTACATCATCTTTGACGGAGGCCCGTACCTTTTCTCAGGTTGTGGGGGGCAACTGGAGCAGAGGATGCCGCCTCCAATGAGCAGAAATGCAGCTGCAGCCCAGCCCAGGTACAGAGCTCCGCCGATCTCCCTCTTCTGTGCCTCAGGGATGACTGGATTGTAGAACTCCGCGATGATAGTGTGTGCAGACCACGAAACAGGGATCAGCTGGGTCAGAGAGGCCAAGATGAAGGCCCCCCCGGCAGCTATCATCACCCGGGCCTTTGCTGTCTCTTCGTCCACGCAGTTGGTGCACTTTGCCCCCATAATCGCCACCAGGATTCCCACAATGCCCAACACGATGGAGATGACGGTGAGGGCGCGGGCTGCCTGAAGGTCGGCGCTTAGAGCCAACATAGAGTCGTGGATTTTACACTGCATCTGACCTGTGCTCTGGACCACGCAGTTCATCCAGATGCCCTCCCAGGTGGTCTGTGCTGTGACTATGTTCACCCCAATGAACGCAGACACTCTCCACATGGGCAAGGCGCAGGACACGATGGCGGAAATCCATCCCAGGACAGCCAGAGCCACTCCAAGTATCTCCAGTCCCACTGAAGGCATGTCTGAATTATCTGTGAGTCAAAGCGCACTGATGCCCTCTCTAGATGGAAGCTGATTGAGTGAGTGGGCTCTGTGGAGCTGATTGCTGATATAAACAGCGCATTTCTCTACAGCAGAAGGTGGAGTTACTTGGTTATTGGCCAGGAACAGGCTCTAATCATCGTCTGTCCCACCTTGTTTGAATGGTCAAAAAAGCCAGTCACAGCCTCAGCTTAATCATTCAACTTGCTCGGCCCCCCCGGTAGCACTCCCACCTGTTTGGGTGAGGGGAGAGTAAACAGAGGGTCTGTATCTCAGGTCTGGAGTAGTTAAAGTATAACAGACATGGTAAAGATCTCTGGATGAATGATTGAAAGTGGAAGGCACAATATTAAGAGCTGCAGGTTTCTCATTGTACTTGCGACTGACAGATGAGTCAGATGTTTAACATTAAGAGTTGTACACAAAAGTTGTGAATCACATTTTGCTTTAATTATACCTTATTTATATGAACTATATTAACTGAAGCTGAGGAAGAAGAAAGGAGGGGCGTGATGGCAGTGGTGAAAAGGGGATAACTCTTTGGAAACCGGTGGGAGTGCTGTGATTATTCAAAGGGTATATTCATATCTGTCCTGTGTCAGCCTCTGTATCTTTCCAGTGAATTTGATAAAACTTGGCCTTCACGTTTCCATTTACTGTGGCTTACCATCATTGCTTAACGTCCTAAGATAAGAACCAAAATGTTTGGGTTTTTTTTAACTGCAGATTCGTAGGAAGTGTTCAGCTGTTATCTACAGACTCCAACTATTGCAGTGAGTGGGTGAGGACGTGTAGAAAAGTTCTTTTAGACATCTTTCAGAACCATTGTGCCCAAAATGTTTCCAGTAACTACTCTTGACCTAATTTTTTTTTTTAGCATTTGAGTGTGCTGACACGCTGCCCATAACTAGAAGTACCTTCCCATACGAGAGGATGTTGATGATGATAAACTAAACTTTTTTCTCTCCACTCAAAACAGATCTGCAGATCTCAGAACAACGCAGATGATGAAATATTACGTAATAACGTTGGGGTGTGCTGATCCGTGATGATAAATAGCTTTTCTCTGTTGCCTTGACAGTATGTTCAGTTGACTAATGTGTCTCACTGGTTACCGTGGGAGGTTAATAACTGAGACCACATGCGGTAACAGCAATGCAAACTACACAAACCCCCTCTAAATATGCAGTATCTGCACGTGGAAGGTATTCAGGACTGATAACGTATTTCTTTCAGGAAAAAGACATGCTTCTCATGGTGATTCTGGTCACACAAAGCGAGGGTGGGCCAGTGTGTTGGAAGCTGAAACAATTGTCTGTGTGCGTGCGCACATGGATGGGTGGGTTGGTGGGTCAGTGGTCTTATCAGTGTCCTTGTCCTGAAGGTCACATAGTGCATCAGGGGTTTCAACCTCAGTTTAACTACTGCACGTGCCACAGGGAAAGCTCCTCCTAAACATACACTCTCAACTCCAGTAGTTTTATCTCAGTCTCTCATGTTACTTTCACGGCATTGAATTTTGAATCGGATCGGAATTGAATTAAATCATAACGAGAGGCTGCTTTACCAACATCATGTGGTAATGGTATTCAAAAGCTGTACTTCACCTTTAAATACGACCTGTATTTGATGACTATGCAACAAACTGAACATTTGTCAAAAAGTTTCTGATAGCTACTCAAAGTCCTGAAGGAAACATGGACCTTTAAGTATCAGAACACTACTAACCCCAAGGACTATAACATTTTCATTTATTGCCGTTGCCGCGTTTCCATTGCAGTTCAGAAAAGTTGACAAAACACAATTGCGAATGGTCTGTGTTTCGACTGTGTTATGTTCGGTGAATAAAGCTGTGTTTTCACCTTTTGCAAAATCATTCCAATTAAACACGTTGAATTTCCATCATCTGCTAATTGTTGGGATGGGGATTTCGATTGCATACACCACAAGAAGGTTTTGTAGTATTTAATTGAAGGCGACGTGGGCATGTGGTGCACGTAACGACGGGAAAAGCAAAACCCTTATATTGTATATGTATCAGGGATTTATGGGAGATAATAGTCTGCAATGTTTTGGGATGTCATGTAACTACTCATGTCATGTCACTTAAATGTGGAAAAAGTGTTTCCATTTCACTTTTGTGAAATATTGCTTTTTGTGACATTTCAGAGTTTTTGCAAAATTCACGTGTTTCCATTCCTTGTTTTTTTTAGTTTGCAGTTTCAGGTTCATGGTTAATGGAAACACAGCTAAGTAGCACAGCTAGTATTAACTAGCTAACAGGGCTAGCTGGGCAGGAAAATTATTCAAACACTGTTTGGTTGGGCAGACAAAGTCTATGGAGCCAACACTAACACATACACACAGCTAAAAGTTGAACTCACTTAAATGACATGAAATGAAATGTGTAAAATCCTGAGGACTGGCTCCACCGCTGCTGCTTCCTTTTCATATCATTGTGCTATGAACTGACTAATATCTGTATCTGTGTTGTCCAAGGAATATCAAAAGACACATTATCTAATGCACAAGATGAACTATCTCAGATGATTCAGGCTTTCTTACACGGACCAGCTGCTGCCCTTTTCTGATAGATCTTGTGGTTTGTCTTCACTTCTGACTGAGCTGTTGCACTTGGACTCAGACATACAGTGCTGCAGTTTTTAGTATATTAAACGCCTGTTCTTTAGATCATTAGCCACATAGCTTAAGCCAAAGCAAGTTAAGAAAGCAAGAAATGTTTTCAAACTGTGTCTTTGTTTCTTAGATTTTCATTTTTTTTAAATATTGCTTGCAAAGCAGGAGTGCTGAATTACCAAGTCATATTTTCTATAAGTTGTAGGTAGAATGTGTTGCTGAACAAGGATTTTAAGAAGTCTTAAAAGGGATATTAAGAATGTCAATATTTCAGCAGATTGACAAAATGTTGACATTAAACCAAGATAGGACAGGTGTCCAAAAAAAAAAAAAAACCTTTAACATTGTTGGTTTCAATCACATCACACATTTTCCCCACAGTACCTGATTTTGTTTAGGTTCTCCAGTAACTCTTTGAGCAATTAGATACATGTTTATTTAAGTGAATCCCATTTTGGAAGCAAAGTAAACAGTTGCAAACCAGCTGATTAACAGGGTCTTTGTGGCTCCATTTGGGCTCAATTACAGTCCGGGATACATCCCCTTGCAGATAGTCCTTTATCTCTGACCCAGTTTCACTCTCGCAAATGGAGGACAGGCCACAATGGAAGGGAAGCATAAGGTGCTCTTCTAAAACAAGCCCACCATTGTTCCTGTGTTCCATTTGCATTGAAATAAAATACCTAATTTCGGTGTGCACCAGTACAGCTCTTATTGCTCAGACTGCGCTGAGCCCTACAGCTGGCTTACGCCCCTCTTTCTGCATACTGAAGAACTTGTGTAGAAATGGTGGTTATGTTACACTTAATTAAAGCATCAATTTCTGACTCTGTGGCATTAAAGTGCCGAGTTACAAACTGCATTTCCACTATGAAGAAGGTTTGAAAGTTTGTTTTTTATTTATAATTTCGTTAAAACTCACTTTAGTCTGGAATTACCTGCTTAGAAACTGTGTGAATTTCTGAACACCAAAGACATCTTAATAAAATAAAAATCCAAAATCTACAAATCAAATGTAGTAATAGTAGAAATGAAATATTAAGAGCAACATAAGATGCCCACCACTACAGAAAAACATAGTAAAGACAACATCATAAGGACACGTCATGAAGCATGCATACTTAATGTTCAAGTCCAATGTGCTGCATTAAAATCCATGTCATCAGGCATCCAGCCACTGACCACAGATTAATTAACGCTGGTCTGTGAATCTGCACCCGCACTCGCATGTCACACGTTTATACATAGTCTCTTCTGGTGTATCCATTGACTGACATGGTTTTGACAGCTGAGTAGTCCGCCCGGGGAGGCACAGAGCCACCACCGCTCGGTGCTGTAGCCGATTTGGGGGGGCAGGAGCAACAGAGCAGGACCCCCCCTAGAATCAGCAGGCAGGAGGCAGCCCAGCCAAAGTACAGAGCATTACCAAACTCTCTCTTCCCTGTCTCCTCCAGCAGTGGGTCGTAGAAGCCCAGGACGATGGCGTGGGCCGTCCAGGACACAGCCACCAGCAGCAGCAGTCCGGCCACCACAAAGGTCGCTCCAGCGGCCACCACCAGCCGTGGCTTACTGCTCACATCCCGGCTACAGTTGGTGCATTTGGCGCCAGCCACTGACAGACCGATGCCCACGATGCACATCACCATGGAGACGATGACCAAGGCGCGAGCTGCCTGCAGGTCTACCGGTAGCCCCAGCATGGAGTCGTGCACCTTGCAGTGCATCTGGCCCGTGCTCTGCACCGAACAGTTCATCCACAAGCCTTCCCAGATCACCTGGGAGATGACGATGTTCTGACCGATGTAGGCGGCCACCCGCCACATGGGCAGGCCGCAGGCCGCCATCACCCCCAGCCAACCGGCCACGGCCAGGATCATCCCGAGGATCTCCACGCCTGCAGAGTACATAGTTGGAGCTGGGGATGAAGAAGGAGCTGAACAAGACTCTCTTCCTGGGCTCAGTGGATAGAAGGCCTTCTGTGTCCGCAGGCTCAACCCTCCTGAGATGAAGGCGATATCGGATCTCGTTGACTCAAAGTCCTGCGTAAGACTTTTAGTGAGAGAGAAAAGAGAGGGAGAAACAGATTTCACCTTCTTTATAGAGCTTTGACGACTGAAGGTGGAGTCAGCTTAAGGTGGGCATCATGTTTACCTTCAAACTACACCCGCATTGGGGATACTTTAATTATATTTTTCTTTTTATGAAATTGCGTGAAAATGAAATTGAATCAGATGTAAAAATCCTGAAAATCACTTTTCTTGATGAAAACATCTTGTCAGGCTCCTGTTGAGTCTCAGATAACAGTAAAAAATATTAATAAATATTAAAGAAACATGGTTTCTGGAGGAAAGTGTTCTCTTTAATCCAAATCACATTTACAAAGATGACACTTACAAGAATCATCGATGTACTCAGTTCTGGTTGTACTAAGATGCTAGTTTACCAGCATTCCTTTCAAGCCTTTTGAATTTGAGAAAGAGTAAGTATCTGTGTTTCTCTGTCATGTGACAACCTTGAACAAAAATGCTGAATCACCATCTGAATGAGATCTCCATGCAGGAAAGAAAAAAAAGCAACAATGACAGGCCTTGTTTTTGTTGGTCAGCTACATAATCCTACCTGGGAGAGAAAAAACACAGGGTGTAAGTGAACAGGGCTCATTATCAGTCTGCATGCTTGAGGTGTTTTTCTGGGGGTTTATGTTTATATATATATATATATATATATACATATTCAAAAACCTAAACACGCTGACAATATCAGCCTTGTAGTCTATGATCTGGCATAAGCAGATGATACTCTTTTGAATCTCCATGGGACTCACCGTGGCAAATGTTAAACCATAAATACATACCTGTGACTTAATGGTGCGTCATGTGTGGAACTAATCCCCTCAGTAAATATCCCCTTTGTGTGTGATCACTTATTGGGAAACCTAAAGGACAGAGAGCACATTTAGTTTTTAGGCTAAAACAGTTCTGTCTGAGCGAGTCAATTAAAAAAACTCGACTAAAAATTTTACCAAAAATGGTAAAGAAGGTGCAAAAGGCCCAGAAAGCAGCTCTATCAAATATATATGTGAGCATTGTCTCTCTTAAGCATTCACATAATAGTGTATCACAGCTGCTCTGTCCATATCTGAATCCATATCAGCCTTTTATCATGTCGACCACTTCATACCTCAGCAGGTGGGAATATCTTCTAAAATATCAAGAACAGCTTCATTGTTAGACAACAGGACTACTGAGGTGAGCCCTCTGTCATTACAGGCTTTTCTCTAATTAACAGGGGTCACCGGGGGTCAGCGGTCAGAATGAGCATCCCTGCAGTCAACCTCCTCCACAGACACACATGTACACATGTACACACACACACACCCCCCCCCATCCTCCCACACAAACTTAGACAAACACACCGGACGGGATCTTTGGTATCCAGATCATTTTGATTGCAAATGACATAATATTGCAATATTGTACATCGGTAAGAAGAATAATAGGCTGCCAAAAACGTTCTTCCATCAGCTTGAATATTTTCCCTCAGTTTAGAAAATGAGGCTTTTTAAAGCTTCAGCCTGAGTGATAGTCACAGTTCTGGTAAAGGTGTTATTAACCTGTTGAGAAAAGACCTCAGTGCATCAGACGGCAGAGATGACATCGCTATGACATCAAAACGTCTGCTGCAGAATAAAGGTCCCCAGCATGAAGTACTGTTTATTTTAAAGAGCTTTGCTAAGCCGAAGAAGAAGAGGAAGAAGGTGAACACATCTGCTCAGAAACACCGCAGGCTAGACTTCACTTCAACACAATCATTTCATGGGATTGTTTATGTGCATCATAATGTAGGTGTATGCTTTTACAGGCAGGGGGAGCCACTATTGCATTATACCTTTGTGTTGTTGATCATGTTTGACTGGATTTGCAGGAGTCGCCCTGCATTAGGATTTTGGTTGTATCTGCTTGGTTCGTGTTGATTAGCATGCATGCAATTCTGATATCTGAAAGTTTTACTGTTTACTCACAGAAATCAGGTCGACTGAGACAGTAACATCTCTTAAAACATTTTTAAATCACTGGAATTGTTTGTTTGTCAGTTCAATCTGATAATTTTAAAATTTGTTTAATTTGTTGCCTTGTGTGAAGCACTTTGTAACTTGGGGTTTGAAAAGTGATTTTCAAATTCGATTTATTTCCTCAGTTATTTGTGAAAATGAATCAAATGTTGTTTTCTCCCTTTGCCTTTAGTTTGCACCTGGCAGCAGTCCCCGTGCAAGGAGTGCAAGGAGCAGTGTTAGGGAGTTCGTGCTTCCAAGGAAAAGTATTTGAATGCTGAGCGGTGGAGCGTGGTGCAGCTCTGTGGATTACCAGATAAAGTCAGAAATAAACAGATACAGCTTGTGTGATTGGCTAATGCATCTGAAAACCACTAAGATTTGGTGTCTCCAGAGGTGTGCTCTGCTTTTTTAACCTTTTATGCAGGAGCAGTTTTTCACACCCTGATAACATGTTCTCCACAATGTATCTAAAAACATAGGAATGCAAAAAAACAAGTATACAAATTACTTGCTATCAGTGGTAAGACATGTAAAGCAATAAACAAAATATCATAATTGACCCTTAAATCAGAGATGCATTTTAAATGAGGCTGGCAAGTAATAATAATAATAATGATCTTTATTATAGAGCGCTTTTCTAAACCCACGTTACAAAGTGATTTACAGAGGGCAGTGAAATCAAACATGTGGGTCATAATTAAATAATTATAACAAGCAATCAGAAATACAACCAAAACTCAAGTGTCTTTGTGCAAATAGACCAAAGGCAGTGTCACCAGCAAGAGGGCGATAGGTGAAAATCATTAAAACCAAATAAACAAATAAAAAGTTGTCAATAAAAGCAAAAGTAAAAATTAAAATTAAGTAATACCGGGAAAAGCTCTACGATAAAAGTATGTAGAGATTAAAAAGAGGCCGCTGACTCTGCTGACCTGATTTCTTCAGGCAGCTTGTTCCAGAGTTTCGGGGCTCTGACTGTGAAAGCCCTGTCAACTCTGGTTTTTAGCTTTGGCTCAGGAACATCTAAAAGACCTCTGCCCGAGGATCTCAGGCTACGAGCTGGTTCATAAGCTGTTAAAAGGTCAGATGTAGCACGGAGAGAGGCCGTCAACAGCTTTAAAAGTCAACAGTAGGATCTTAAAATCAATTCTGAAACATACTGGGAGCCAGAGCAAGGAGGCTAAAAGTGGGAGAAGTGGGAGTAAACCTCTCCACTGTATCGTTACCATAGACCACTCATCATTATGAAACATATGATAGAAACATACTGTGTGCATAACAAGTGAAGTGTTTAGTTACTCTGTAATAGTAAGGCAGAACAGCACTTGTGCAACACAGATTCTGCCTGAGGCCGGACATTTGGACGTTGCTAAGGACAACTGATAGTTTCAAAAACACACTGATAACCTCACACTAACACTGCCTTTTTACTGAGAGTGATGTATGTTTGAGTTTCAAATAAATCTGTCCGCACACACTTCACTACAACACTTCTAACACATGTAAAATATTGCAACTGGATTTGTGTTACCTCTTGTGTGGCTGTAAGATTTGACTTTTAATCGGTATTATTTCTTCGTTACTGGCTGTCAGGGTTTTGATTTGCACCTTCATACAGCTTATTGTGTATGAAGTTTAAAAAAAAAAAAAAAGACACTAGATTTACCCACATTAATATGTTCAAGGAGGCTGCTTTTGTTTTTGTTTGTATAAAGTTTCAGGAACAGCCTGTTGCATTGTTACATTAACTTCCCTTAATGTAATTTTGCATAAACTTTCTTATGGTTCAATGTGGAGCACAGGCTGTTTATCAAAATCAAAACAAATTTATGCAAACATGTATTTACATTTTAAGTAGACCACAGTTAATGTTCACTGAATGTCATACTGTATTCACTGTGAGTCATCTCATGCACGTGTTGTTTGCTGGATACAACAGATTTATACAGTGAAGATCTTTGTCTCTGAACACCAGGCCATTGTCTGATGTTCTTATCCACACCAAACATGACCATTACTGAGGGATTTCCCCACACTTACAGCAGGTGCACCTGGGACTATTACTTGCAGATATACATGTAGCTACTTGCAGAGCACCTTGCTAAATATTCACTTTTCGCTGTATGGGAGTGCGAACAGGTCTGACCAGTTTCCATTGAGTACTGGTGTCTACTGTAGGTTGTTGTTTCTTCACAGTCCTGACTACTACTAACATTTTCTTTCTCACCTGTTGTGTCTTCATTTAATTCACACCTTTCTTTCTTTCTTTAGATTTTGTAATTTGGTCGTTTGGCATTTGTGGTTGTTTCACCACTGATCTCAAAGAGTACAGGACAAGTTATTAAAGCCCACAGAGGGAAGTCCAATTATGAATGTCAATAACGACATGTATTAGGAAGTAAGACAATAATTAATAAATAAGTAAGCGAAACTTGCTTCTGTGTTTTGTTTAAAGACAGCAAAGCTCCGGTCCCTGCTGCTCGCAGTGCGCACAAATGAAGCTCAAAGTTTCCACAGGCCAAAAAACAAACCCTCAGTCACTCCCTATTTAACAACCAGAACGGCTTATATCCTGACTTGTGGGTGGCTTATGTTAGCCCATATCACAAGTAGACCACTCGACTTTCACATATTATATGGCACTCTCATTAAGAAAAACATCCAAATGAGATTTGCAGCTGAGGAGTCCTCCATCAGAAAAATAACAAAAAAAAAAACAAGAGCATTAAGAGAATTATCTGAGCCATCGTGTTTTCAGAGTAGAAAAGAACAAAACAGATCAGAAAGTGACACTATGGTGTTTGATATGTGGAGATGTCTTACAGTCTCGATGCTACTTCTCTAAAATATCTCTAAAATTCTCTCTAATCACTTCTGCAGACTCAGATTCTGGTTCCTGTTTTTGTCATTTGACAATGTGTCATGCCTCACTGAGGATCCCACAGAGATACTTACTGTGCCTAAACCACCCACTGAAACTGTGACTGTGCCTGAACAATGGCCTCAGGGCTCACAGTGATGACATCACACACACACACACACACATACTTCCCAATCTGGTACATGAAACTACAGTTTTTTTTTTCAAATTTCTTAAAAAAGACGAACAATGTAGGAGGACGATTTTCATTACATCACAAAATAATATTATTTTCATAGAGAACTGGAGGCACAGTTATGTTTCAAAACAGGATGTTCTTATAACTTTCCTTCTTTTAATTAATCAATTAATGAACAAAACATTACATTTTGTAAACTTTAGTTTCCTGCCCTAAACATTCAAAATAACTGATGTGTTTCTGTATGTATGTGCAGTACTGTATATACACACATATTTCATTCATATCTGTTGATTAACGTTATATATATTTAACCACGGGAAACTCAATAAACGTGGCTTATGTGGACAAAGCTAAACGGCCAAAATTATAACTTTGTATTGATATATGTACTGACCCAGCCAGTTTAACTGAAGGCTTGGACATCTGAGCGAAAGTCAAAGCCAGCCGTTACTGAGAAGTCTGGGCTTGCCTCAGACTACCTGTTGACACTTGTCACCTCTCCTCCCTCTGGCATTTTCTCATGGCTGCTGGAGTCAAGTCTTTTCCCTGCTTCTGTGAAGTTTGTCCTGCTCCCTTCTGCAACGTTGCCTCAGTGAGGAATGAATGCAGCATCAGCTCAACGTGACACTGTCATTGACTTTCAAAAATGCAAACACTCTCACACAGTCGCCTACATTCAGCCTTTAAGATTTTTTTTTTTTTTTTGTACTTTTTTTTTGTACTTCATTGAGTAAGAAAAAAGATTATTCAGTATCTGATATGTAAGGGCACAGAAGTTGTTGCATGTGTATGAGCAACATGTTTACTGTATATGCATTTTTTTTTTTTTAAAACATGAGGCATGTTCCTGCCTGAGGCCGATCAGGACCTTCCCATCAGGACTAATCTCACCCTGAGACCATCTCTCCTCAGAGTCTTAATTGTGGAAATTCCTCCCTGCTTCCTTGTGTGTGGAACCCAATCTCCATAGCCAGGCCACAGCAGCTTTAATGATCTTACCTTGGATAAAATAGAGGCATTATAGTCCTAACGGCCGTTTTGGCTCTTAAACACTGCCTCTATTCATTTCTGAAACAATCTGATTCTCTCTCTACCTCTCTTTGCCCCCTCTCACCATTCCCTCTTTTTGCAACTGTTTGTCAAATGGAATCACTTGGCATGGTGTTTGCCTTTTCTCCAACATCTCCCTCCTGATGTCTTCTCACTGCCGTGGAAAACTTTCAATAATTCAAGTGGGACCTGGGCTGCAGAGTGCACAATCTTCTCCAAAGACAACCTGTCAGAGAAGGCAACAAAACCTTCAGACTTTAAGGACTGACATCGCTGAAAGGTCAGTTTTGTTTTCTCTTTATTTTCTCCTGCCCTACATCTCATGAAGTATAATTCTGTGATTGGTATCGATATATAAACTGGGTTTATATGGAAACAACAACTCATTTTATTGTTGTTTTCCTTTTTAATAGCATCATTATTAAATATCTTGCGGTCTGTTTTCTACTTATAAAAATATTTTCATGGGCATGTCCTTTGGCTGTGCTGTTGTTGCGGTTCTGTTTCACTACTGTATGATAGGCCTGTTTAAATCAGTGCAGTCCGTACAGGATGTACTTCATTAGTTGTGCAATAAATACCTGAGGATACTGGGATTTATTAATACCAGAATGGTCTGAGCAGGGATCCAACCAGCTGCCCTTCTCTATTTTATAGTTTAATAAAGTCACTTATTTATGACGAACAATGTGAGAACTTTAACAATATGCTGGTTGTGGGAGCTGACATCGACAGTTATTCGACGTATATAAGTCATTTTTGTTTTAAATATTTGCAGTAGAAGAATTTAGCTTCAACTACTCTTATCTTTTTCATAACATTGAGCCTGACTAAAATTCTGTGTATTTAATTCTAAAACCAAGAAACAGTGCAGTAAGGAAGAGAATGGTATTGTTATACACTTATTCTACACATTCGGATGGAGACATATTTTCACTCGTACACCAGAAACTCCCTGAGCTGAGACCAAAGGTCAAATGTCGACAGACATTAGAAGCAAAATCCCAACAAGAACTTCTTTTGGTCTACAAAAAACTAAACTTCAGATTGTTTTATGAAAACTATGGAAATGACAGGTAACTTGAAATAAGCATCGACTGTTTGTTTCAAGTTTTAGTTGGAAGAACGATTTGCACTTTTAGGAAACATTTTGAAGGAACTAAACAAAAGCAAAGTCATCATCTTTTAGCAAAGGGTTCCTCATTGTTCCGGAAAAGCTGACATTTAATGCACGCACGATTTTCAGCTGACATTCAGGCAATGTCACATCACCTTACATTACAAAAAACATTTTGGAAAACAGGAACAAATAAGCTATAATGGCCTACACCATCATTTTGAGGGTGTGGCTGATGGTATTTTGTAAAATCTCAATACCTGTTAGTCACAGTGTGGCTGATCCACCTGTAACGATTACCTGGCAGAGACAAAAACTGACATGATGACACATGTCCAGGTAGGGAGTGGGAGTGGTGAGGGTAGTCATTACGTCACAGCTCTATGTGACAGTGTGTGTGTCTCAAGCCCCTCCTGGCTTAAGTGTATAAAAGACCTGCTCCGACCTTGCCCAAACATTTACTCTTGGGCTTCAACCAAGCAAGATTTTACTGACTTCCAGAGACACAACTTTTGGACCTTTTTTTTTTTTGACATCTGAGCAAGAAGCTTTCTGAGGAAACATGGTGTCAGCCAGCTGTCAGATGTTGGGCACTGCCCTGTGCATTATTGGCTGGATTGGGGTTATCGTTGCCTGCGCTCTGCCCCAGTGGAAAGTAACAGCCTTCATCGGCCAGAGCATCGTCACTGCTCAAACCACTTGGGAAGGCATCTGGATGAACTGTGTGATCCAGAGCACAGGCCAGATGCAGTGCAAGGTTTATGACTCCATGTTGGCCCTTTCCCGGGACCTCCAGGCTGCTCGTGCCCTCATCATCATCTCTGTCCTGATTGGCATCGTCGGCATCCTCCTGTCCATGGCAGGGGGCAAGTGCACCAACTGCGTGGAGGACGAGAGCTCCAAAATCAAGATTGGCATAGCATCTGGAGTGGTCTTCATTGTTGCTGGTGTTTTGTGCCTCATCCCAGTGTCCTGGACAGCAAACACCACCATAAGGGACTTCTACAACCCACTAGTGCCCCAGGCTCAGAAGAGGGAGCTGGGAGTTTCACTCTTCATCGGCTGGGGGGCCTCAGCCCTCCTCATCATGGGAGGTGCGATCCTCTGTGCCAACTGTCCTCCCAAGGATAACTACTCTGCCAAGTACTCGGCTGCCCGCTCATCTGCACCCAAGGACTACGTCTGAGGAGAGAGAAGCCAAACGAGGAAGCCAAGAGACTGTAAAACGGACTTGAGTCGAAGGCTTTGTGATCAATGATACTGATCCATATTGCCACATTTAGTATGATTTGAATTTCACACTGATGTTATGGAGCTCACAGTTTGGTTTGATGCTGTCATGTTGAGTTACTGCACTTCTGGATTTGTTTCATCTGTGCCAAGAAAAAGAGATGTGCACCACACCCAGACAACTGCTCCTGAGGCAGAAAAGATCAACATTTAACATCATGATTACTTTGATGGATTGTCTTTTCCTTTTACATATCATTTTATTTTAAAATGTGTTTTATACTTGATTGTCTAAAACTGTAAATAAAGATTTTTTTTATCAATAGTGAATCATCATGTTTCGTGTGTCCTTTGAAATTATTACATATATACATCTGAAACTAAAATTGAGCCTTCAGAAAGAAGACGAGGTTTGGCTCTTATATACACAACAAATATAATTTAGCTGATTAATATCCAATTAGTAGTGATACAAAGTTCTACACATCAACTGGTCCCAAAATAAATCCTTATTTTCATTGCCATTATCATTACTATACTCCTTTACTCATCAGCTCTGAATAATTTCTTTTTTGATGTTAGAAAAATGAAACTTTTTATTTATAGTTATTTTATGATACAACATAATCATTGAAAAAGCAATAAAAATAGACTCAATACAACAATATTACAATGTGGGTGGGAAATCAGTCTGTATGAAAAACATGCAATGAATATAGTCTCTCTCTCTCTCTCTCTCTCTCTCTCTCTCTCTCTCTCTCTCTCTTTCTCTCTCTCTCTCTCTCACACACACATATATATACACATATATATATATATGTGTGTGTTAGCTCTGAAATGGGAACTAAAGCTTTAATTTAGTGAAGCGCTTCCTGTCTAAGCGATGTCCTGTCCAACACTGCCCCCTGCTGTTAAAAAGAAACACACACACACACACACACACACACACACACACACACACACACACACACACACACACACACACACACACACACACACACACACACACACACATACACTCCTTTTGATTTCATTGTGCTATGAACTAATATCTGTATTTTCATTTACAATTATGAGAATGTGGAAGTTGTCCTGGTGCTCTTTTCTGGTAGATCTTGTGGTTTGTCTTCACGTCTGACTGAGCTGTTGCACTTGGGCTCAATGCTGCAGTTTTCAGAATATTTAGAAGCCTGTTCTGTATCACATGCTCATGTAGGTAACAGTATTTTTTAAATCAAGTTTAATTGTTTTATAATTAGAATCAACTACAATTAAACCACAATCAAACTTGAATCCATAATACACTAGTATAAATATTCACCACATTTATTCAGTGTTGATGGACAAAGTCATTAAATGTTTCTTTTTTCTGGTGAAAGTGGGTTAGTTATTCATCCATCATATGCCTGAATAAATTCAGTTCATGGACAAGGAACCAGTATTTTTTTTGTATCTGACCTTGAAGCTTTGGATTTCTAGCAGGTCAGCACAACTAAAGGTCACTGGGTCTCTGTTTGTGTGTAAACTCCTTCCAGCCAAAAGGAGCTGAGGACTGCGGTATCACATACCCTCATGTCTCTGTACCTTCTTCTCACACATCAGCCTATAAATACGAGCTCACACCACTCCACTCGTCTTTCTCTCTGGATTCTAACTTGTGAGGAGCAAAACCGCCGACATGGTTTCTCAGGGGATTCAGATCATCGGCATTTCGATGGCTTTGATTGGCTGGTTCATGGTCATCGTGGTGTGCGCCTTGCCCATGTGGAAGGTCACCGCTTTCGTTGGCGCCAACATCATCACGGCTCAGACCATCTGGCAGGGCATGTGGATGAACTGTGTGGTGCAGAGCACGGGCCAGATGCAGTGCAAGGTGTACGACTCCATGCTGGCTCTGCCTCAGGACCTGCAGGCCGCCCGTGCCATGATCATCATCTCCATCCTCACTGGAATCTTTGGAGTGGTCTTGTCAATCGCTGGTGGGAAATGCACCAACTGCATCGAGGAGGAGCGGTCCAAGTCAAAGGCTTGCATCCTGGCTGGAGTTTTGTTCATCGTCTCTGGGTTGCTCTGTCTCATTCCGGTCTCCTGGTCCGCCAACACCATCATCACCAACTTCTACAACCCGCTGCTGATCGAAGCTCAGAGGTATGAGCTAGGAGCGGCGCTGTATATCGGCTGGGCGGCCGCTGCACTGCTGCTGATGGGAGGGGGACTGCTGTGTTGGAACTGCCCGCCAAAACATGAACACCCCCACTATGTACCCACATTCACACCTGTGAAGTCAGCCTCCACATCAAGAGAATACGTATAAGATGGTTTGCCCCTCTACATGGACTCTCAAGGTCACGGGAATAGCAAGAGGGAAACTTCACAAACATATATTCACAAGTGAAGTAAATATGGCATGAGTCCGACAAGCTGACCCATGAGGTTCTATTGCGGTTAGTGTTTCTCACATTTTGTCTTTCAAAGCAGCAGTAACTAACGGCTGCATTCTATTTAGCTGTGTCAGCGCGCCCTGGGACTGTGCATGCTGCTTGCCACACCTAAATGGAACAGCATCCTCACTGATGTTACCACTGTGCTTTTCCTGCTTTTCTAATTCAAAACCAAAACAGGAACTTGGCTTATGATTATGTTTTATTTAAATATCTAAAATCTAAAACTGAAATAGCCTTTTGAAATTTTGCATTCACTGTACTCCTTGATGAATTACTAGGATTTGTATTGTGATAATAATTAATTTGTGTAAATATTTATTCAGATCGTTCCACAGTGTAACTATCTTGATTGTCATTTAATATCTTAACAAATAATGGCAGAATAAATATCGCTTCCTTCATGTAGAACTTAAGCTACTTAAGCAAGATGAGTGATTACATCTGCCTGAATAACAAAAGAGGGTGTAAGTAATTGCTTTCTCTTGTAAAACACTGTGTTTAGCATTTTTATTTATTGTTCGTTTGCAAATTCCATATTTAAGTCTATGAACCTCTGAATGCTTTATATACTGTATCTGTGTTTGCTTGTGAAAGTTGTAATTTTCTATCACTGTAAATAAAGCATATTTGTAATGGAAGGTTATTGTTTGCCTCATATTATTCTATTCAACACCATGCAAGGAGCAGGTTAAATAAGCCATCAATACAATAGTTTCCAAAGGAAACAGGATGCATGCACATGTACATTAAATATCCATCTTTCTTATTTCAGTGTTTGAGTGTTCACTACTACTGGGCTTCTTGTTTTTGAAAGAGGAAACATTTAACACAATTGTGCTTCTCAGTAGGAATTATCCTCCAGTTAAATGCAGGAATGGAAACAGTATCTTATATATTATAATTTCTCCTGCATGAAAATTTAATTTAAGCTTTTAACAATCTGCTCTTTAAAGGTCTTTAAGGATCCATCATGGGTTCTGTCCCCGTCATCAACAGATTTCACAAAACAACAACTTTCCTCACTGGACCTGAATGTGGAAATGATTGTTGGCACAGTATCAGGTTACTGATACTTACTGAGTAAGGTGTGTGAAAGTGTCACCAGTCTGTTTACACAACAGAGGTATCTATCATGGGATGTAGGAAGTGTTTTTGAAATGCAAAGTCACAGTCTGAGTTTCATTTTATGCGACTGGCTTCATGTGTCTCATCACTCCATTAAGGTTTTCATTTGTCCACAGTGTGATTCTACCTCACACATTACTTCTTACTTTTTGCACATTTGCATATGTAAATCTTTTGGCAGGACCACAACAGTAGGGCCCGTCCTATAATCTGGAAGGTTCCTGACTGAGTGACTGAATGATCATATTTCCACAGTTGGTCAGCTGAGTGCCACGTCACTGGAAGTTTCTGGTGCAAACAGGTTCTATAAAGGGGTTTTTTACAGCCTGCAGTGACTAACTGCCGTCTCCACTGGTGTTGGTCGACCTAGCAGCGGCATCAAACGAAAAGTCAGTCGTTTTGACAATTTGCTGCACCTGCCTGGAGCGACTTCTTTTTCTTCTCTTTCAACTTTTCAGTTCAACCCTTGCTTCATAGCATGTTTTTCATCCATGTTTTTTATGCACTGATACACGGACTAGCGGTTGGGTCCATGTTTTATCTGATTCATCATGTTCTGATGTGGAGCGCCTGATTGACAACAACTGTTGCAATCATTTTACAAGTAAATATAGCCGAGACAACGTTGCAGTAATCAGGATTTGACCACAGGTGGTCCTAGGTTTTGGCTAACTGTGTGTTTATTATTATTACTACTTTATTGTAATTTTTGCTTTTTATTTATTTACTTCCACTTTGTACTAACTTTACTTGTTCATAAGGATTTAAGAAGTGTTGATCCATAAGAAGATATATTTGTGGTTTTAAGAACCAAAAACCATCTCAGTTTAGTTTTACATCTCCTCTCTCAGGCTTCTCTCTGGAGCTCTGTTTACTGAGTGATCCAATAAAAATATAGCAGATTTCAGGTAAACACTCAGAGAAACCAAATACTGCAAGGTTGGATGGTTGGTTCAGGTGGGCGGGGCTTTGGATATGAATGAGGGTGGTACCTGCTTTGTTGTGACATCACAAAGTTCCAGAAGTCCTGACGGCCGGTTTTAAGCTGTGTTTGGAGGTTCAGTGTAATCTTAAACCACCACAATCACCACTACTCTCATTTCAAATTGCCACAGCAAAGAGCCTGTTTGACAAAACAACAACTATTCACAATTTGATTATTTGCAGCTCTGATGTGGTTTCAGGACCTTTGAAGTCACTGATTTGTTGTATCTCCATCCAATTACCACATCCACCCTGCAGAAATAGTGCATTCGTTTTTTCGAGAACAAAAGGAAGACTTAGTGTGAAAAGGGATGCCACTCCTCTCGCTCCACAGGAATCTTGTTTGGCCAGAAGAACTCACCCGACGATGGGCCAGCCCACCTCCTGTACGGTCTCTGACAAACAACAAGTCAGAGAGCTGTGTCACTCTGAAAGAAAAACAGACCTCTGCGCTGAAACACTTCTCTCTCCTGCCACAGACAAAGCCTCTTCGCCATGGGGAGGATTGGCAAGGAAGTGGCAGGTCAGGTCATCAGCTTCATAGGCCTGATTGGAGTGGCGGTGACCTGCGGGATCCCCATGTGGAGAGTGACCACTTTCATCGGAGCCAACATCGTGACTGGTCAGATAGTGTGGGATGGTCTGTGGATGAACTGTGTGATGCAGAGCACGGGACAGATGCAGTGCAGCCTGAATGAGTCTGTGCTGAGGTTGTCCCCGGATCTGCAATCCGCCAGAGCTCTGGTCATCATCTCCCTCGTCTTCGGCTTCATCGGCTTCATGATCACCTTCATTGGAGCCAAGTGCACCAGCTGCCTGAATAAAGATTCATCAAAGGCCAAGGTGGTGATCATAGGCGGCTGTCTCATCATTCTTTCTGCCATCCTGGTCCTGATCCCCGTCTGCTGGTCTGCAGCCATCACAATCTCAGACTTCGAGAACCCCTTGACGGTCGAGACGCGGAAGAGGGAAATCGGAGCATCCATCTACATTGGCTGGGCCTCTGCTCTACTTCTTCTTGTCGGTGGGATCATCTTAACCACGTCGTGCCCTCCTCAAAAACACATGTATGGATACCCAGGCTACCCACCTGCACCAATGTACCCATATGCAGGCCCAGTGGCAAACCCAGCAACATATGGTCCTGTGTACGCTCCCCTATCCAGCCGACCATATACAGGGACAGGGACAGGGACATATGTACCCAACAAACCGTATGCAGCACCAGCCGCATATTCCCCTGCACAGTACCTGTAGAGATTGAGAGGACACACAGAGGAGAAAAGACTGAAATTTCTGCCACGATGGCTTCAGGAACTTGTTGTGCCACTAGAAAGCAAAAATTGCACCAAAATACACATTGTATTCATAGAGAATGGTATGTATTCCAATACATTGCTGGAATGTAAAAGTAATTCACTCACAAACAATCGTTGTGATCTTTGATTTTAATGAATCTTTTATAAAATGTTTCTCTTTGGGTTGATTTATTGACATAAGAGGAATATTGTGTCATCATGGCTTTGTGCATTGCTTTTCATAAGGAAGTTTCTCTTAATATATTTATATCCTTGTTATACAGAGCATATTTTGTAAATAGTGATGATTTGTGATGCGTCTGTTTTCTGTAAATGCCACTTTATTATTGAGATTATTCAAAATACTTTCAATAAAATGTTTGTAGTATATTCACTTGTCTGTCTGTGGAGTCATTATCGCAACATGTTTTATGAAATATTGTTAAATATCATCTATAAAGATGAGCTCAGGCAAGGCAGAGCCCATCTGGTGATTGAGAAGCAGGGAATGGTAAATGGACTTGCACTTATACAATGCCTTTCTAGTCTGACCACTCATAGCGCTTTGCAATACTTCACATTCACTCACATTCATACATCACACTCATACGTACAGTCATACACTGATGGAACAACCATCAGGAGCAATGTGGGGTTCAGTATCTTGTCCAAAGACACTTTCGTCATGCGGCCTGGATCGAACCACTGAGCTTCTAAATAATGGACGACTCGCTCTACCTCCTGAGCCACAGCCGCCCTTTTATTGAATCTTAATCATGATCCCAGCTGTCAACCATAAACAGCTCTAAATGGGGTTTTTGTTGTGATCCAATCAACTGCAGCATTGGTCAGTGTGAGTACATTCATTCTGACAGGAAAAAAACCAAATCATTTCCTTGAATAGCTTCGTAAATATGTGGTGACGGTTACACGGAAGTCATGTGTAAAACTGTGATGGCCCCCTTCTGTCAACGTCTGACATCCGGTGATACTCCGCTGCCCATGTTGCTGCTGTTTTTGAAGCTGAAACCAGTGACCGGACCTGATCTTCCAGTAAACCTGCCCAATCAAAGGACGGCTACTGGCAGAGCATTGTTTGAATGAGGAATGTAGAGCCTCATTTACATAGAGTCCTTCAAGACTGATGTTCATCTCATCGATACTACTCCCTGTCACACTCTTGATAAGTTGAAGAATCTGGTTGGACGAGTAAGTCGTTCAACGCTTTGGGTTTCAGGTCTGAGGGAAGGACATTTTGACTCCACCTTCAAGAACGACGTCCTTATAACTGAGGAAAGTGTGCCACGGTCTTCATTCAACTTTACAACCTGAGCTAAGCTGACCTCCTGAAACCTCCAAGTGACTCAAACAAGACCTCATCATGGTGTCTATGGGACGACAGATGCTGGGCTTTGCCCTGGCCATCATCGGCTTCCTGGGGACCATCATTGTGTGTGCCCTGCCCATGTGGAAGGTCACGGCCTTTATTGGCGCCAACATTGTGACAGCGCAGGTCATCTGGGAAGGCTTATGGATGAACTGTGTAATGCAGAGCACAGGCCAGATGCAGTGCAAGATCTATGATTCTCTTCTGGCTCTGCCTCAGGACCTCCAGGCCGCCAGAGCTCTCGTGGTCGTCGCCATCATTGTCGCAGCCTTTGGGGTCCTCCTGGGCATCGCTGGGGGAAAGTGCACCAACTTTGTGGAGAACAAAAGTTCCAAAGCCAAGGTGGCCATCGCTGCTGGAATTGTCTTCATTTGTGCCGGAGTCCTCGTCCTCATCCCCGTCTGCTGGTCTGCCAACACCATCATCAGGGATTTCTACAACCCAGTCATAATCAACGCCCAGAGGAGAGAGCTGGGGGCTGCGCTCTACATCGGCTGGGGCACGGCTGCGATTCTCATCCTGGGTGGTGCCCTCCTCTGCAGCTCCTGCCCACCAAAGAAAAGCCCAGAGTATCCAGTCAAATACGGCGGCGCCAGGTCCACAGCCACCAGCCGAGCCTACGTCTGAGAGCGCCACTCTCCTGAGAAAGACTGCAAACTGTTTTACTTTTCTTGAGCAACCCTCCTTCACTGTGAGTTTGTGAAAGTGCCAAAGGTTTATGTCTCGCGTTTTTAAAATGTGAGGCAGAGTGAGAACTGATTTTCTGAGAAACTCAGAATTCTCTGGTGGAAGCGAGAGAGAGAGAGTGTTTCTTGAAGAATGAGAAACACTTCACAGAGAGGTGGTGTGAAACTACAGTGCACACAAGAAAGTCTCCCGGCAGCATGATGACTGGACTGAATGAAAGCTGTTCTATATTAAGATTGTTACAAAGCTCTTTTCCTCTGAATGTTTGGCAAATCTCAGCTGTGCTAGAAGGTTAATGGTGAGCAAAAGCTAGGAAAACTTGTACAGTACCACTAATATATTGTGAATTTCTTGTATAAAATAGATTACAAATATGTTTGTTTCATTGCAATGTCAAATGATTACTTATGTTTATTGAAATCACTGATTTTTAATAAAACTTTTATCAACCTGATATTCATGTGTCTTTTAATTCATCCACTGATGTTCAAAAAGGAGTTGGTCTGTTTTCTGTTGTTTATATTCACAAGATTAACTTAAAATAAATACAGCAGTAGAATAAAGTAGGTCAGCAACAAGTAATAACATAGAGATTCATAAGAGATGTGAGAAAATATTTCTTTAATACAATGATTATGTTTTTAGTAAGTTCAGGGTATAGGCAACTTTAAAATAAAAGAAATAAATAGTATAGTATATGTAATATTTGTGATCTCATATAATGAGAGGTGACTGTGAGCAGTAGCTTTGTAAGGGCTGTTTCAAATTTTGTTCATGTTAGACTGAAACTATAAGTTTCAACTTTATCTTGTCAAAAGCAGCGATGATCCAGCTGCTGATGCTGCCTGTCAGAAAGGAAACCGAACTGTCTGTTTCTGACTGGTTACATTTATTTGAGAAACACTTGTACTAACAAAGTGTAGTGACAGTCTATTTAAAATCATACAGTTTATTTGATCCCTTCATGCAGACATCTTACTGGTTCAACCAGTTGTACAGTGCGGCGTCCCATCAACGCTTTTCCTTACAACTGGTAACTGTGTGTTAGTTTGAATAAACTGAGAGGAGCTTTACACACATACAAACAGTACAATCTGAATTAAAAAGTATTAGCTTGGATTTGCATTAAGTAAACAATTAAATTACAGGTAAATCACAACACTGTGGAAAAGATAATCAGACAGTCTCTGTAGTTGCTGACCAGTTGTGAGGGAATTTTTTTCTTGTTCTCTTGGTAATAAACATCTTTTATTACTTTACAACACTCGCTTCTCCCATAGAAACCCTGTCTCGTTAAAGTATGTTTCTAAATAACCAGACTCCAAAAGCAAATATGTTTTGTAGCAAACGTAACTTCTGGAACTTTGTGATGTCACAACAAAGCAGTCACTGCTCTCAGCCATGACCCAAGCCCCGCTCACCTGGACCCACCATCTCACCTTGCAGGATTTGGTTTCTCTGAGTGTTGTTACCTGAAATCTGCTATATTTTTATTGGATCACTCAGAAACAGTCAGCCAATCAGAAGAGAGGCTCAGAGCCTCTAAACAGAACCATGAAAATGTTCAATAACAGTGTAGTCACTACAAGTGGATATTATTCTGCAGGATCTGATATTTTGGCAGAAGACAAACACGTGTGAGAAGTTTTAGGTCACATGTTCAAATCAACAACATGCCCTTGTTATAGAAAACATTATGTTTCCTACAATATGTATTTGCTGTTACAGATTAGTTGTAGACAGGGTTATATTTGTATTTGGATGCGGATTTTGTGTGTGTGTGTGTGTGTGTGTTTGTGTGTATGTGTGCGTGTGCGTGTGTGTGTGCGTGTGCGTGTGTGTTTGGGCTCCGCAGTCACGCACACTGGTGCTGAAATTCCACAACAACTGATGTATAATGATGAGGATAAGGATTGTGTTGTTCTTTCTGTTCCATGAAAAGACCAAGACCAACACCATCTCGTAACACTATGACTTCCCTTCTCTGTCTCTGACTCTCAGGCACAACAGCTAGTGTGGCTCACTGATATTATATCATATACATATATACATATATATGACATAAGAATGATATATACACATATATATATATATATATATATATATATATATATGTGACATAACAATGATATATACACATATATATATGTATATATCATTGTTATGTCATGTCAGTTCCAATGTGAAAAGAGTTACACAGAAAATGTATCACTGTCCCAAGAAAACAAACCTTGGTTATTCCACATGGTCATTTCTATGACCATGTTGACGAAGGTCCCCTTAACCGAACCAAACCTTGACCAGAGCATTGTGACATCAGAAATTCTGTTTATTTTACAATAGTGATTAGAAATGGAAGGCTTCAGAAAAAGAGGTAGTTACACCTGATATATTTTATCTTCTACTTTGGATGAGTTGTTTACAAACACTTATGGTTTCACATCTAGGAAATGACCTCTGCATTTTCCCTATGCTGTGAGTCAGAACATGATGTCAGCACAGCATTGCAGGTTGTTTTACCGGTGTTGAACACACCCTGTTCTGTTTCTACTTTTGACCTGGTATCACATTCCTGAGCTGCCTGCTGCAATTAGAGAGAGAATATACTCATAGCTGTGAGATGAGGCAGTGGAGCACCGTCATCACAGTCTAGTGCACCAGTAACCAAGCAGAGATGGAAAAACTGGTTTCGGTACATGAATCATATGAAGGTATTTTTCTACTTTCAGCATGAAATGCCATTCCTAACTAGGTTATACCTGGTCATATAATGTTTCAACAGTAACGCTTGCAAATGTAATATATGTATACTATGTATTTCCATACATGAAATATATTTACATATAAAATAAAAACATAAATGTAAAAATAATATGTGAAACCCATTAGAAATTTGACCTATTTCATGTATTGACATCTCTAGCACATACAAATATGTATGTTTATGTAAGTATGTTTATACTTTAAACATGTTTTACAGAAATATATATCCATCATGTCAATATACTGTATGTTGATATTACAAACAGTAGAGTCCAAAAGTCTGAGACCACTTTCCTAGAATGTGAAGATAGACATGTTTAACATTAATGAGAAATCAATAAGAAAAACACATATAAGCATATAGAATTTTTATATGTATGTTATTTTGATAAACTTGCATGTATAAATTAAATATATATCTTTAACATATGTGGTTGCAACATGTTATACCATATAAGTAAACATCAGATGTTTTTAATATATGTACATATACAAATTTTACTGCGTATTTCATACATGTTATAAACTTCGTCATAAGTGATATTACTATTTCCCCTTATAAGTGATATATATGGCAACATCACTCTTGATATAGGGAAATATACAGGTATGTAATATATTACATTTCTGTATACTTCTTCCACCAGTGGACCTACATGAAGAGACAGACATTTACACTATCGCTTCTGAGGTTGGAATAGTCGGCACAGAACAACACGTTATGATTCTCTTAAAGCCAGACAGTTATAAAGCACAATATGACATGATTTCTGTAGATATACGTACATGTGCATATACTGTAAACCTCCAAAGTGCATTTCCTTTTATTCTTCATATTTGTGTCCCTGATAATATTTCAGTGCGTTTAAGATGATACCTCTCCAAATATCTACAGTATGATTCACAACCAGGAGTGATTTATTCCCACTCACTCTCATCACATTGTGCACATAGACATGTGTACATACAGAGACAGATCACTGTTTGCCTCGACTCATTTCATTCTCACAGTTTGCAGACTTGTGGCCTTGTCTTTTGTGCAATCACTCCCTGTGCTCCACTCTGCATATACACTACCTACATTTGCAAGTTGGTGTCTTTTCTGTTACATACATCCTTTTCCTAGTTGAGAGTACCAACGAAACCTTGTGAAACACAATCTTCATATCCGTGCAGAAGAATGGTCGAAACCCCAACCTCCATTGTCCTTTCTCACAAAGAATCCTGCATGGCTGGTATTCTTTGGCAGGGCCTTTAATATGTCCTTAATAGCTTGGTTTTCACGCCTCCTATTCTTCATTCTCCTTCTGCCTCAGATGCACATTAACACCTGATCAGCTCTTGATATTTTCTCCGAGACGCTCAGAGAAAGGAGACGATGGCCTCCATGGGGATGCAGATGGCAGGCTCCGCTCTGGCCCTGTTAGGTTGGATTGGGTCGATCATCGTCTGCGCTTCACCCATGTGGCGGGTCTCTGCCTTCATTGGCAGCAACATTGTTACATCACAGATCATCTGGGAGGGCATCTGGATGAACTGCGTGGTCCAGAGCACAGGCCAGATGCAGTGTAAGGTGTACGACTCCATGCTGTCTCTGGGTACAGACCTCCAGGGGGCTCGTGCTCTGACAGTGGCCTCCATCATCACAGGCATCGTAGGGCTCCTCATAACTTTCGCTGGCGGAAAGTGCACCAACTTCATTCCAGAGGAGAGGGCCAAGGCGAGGGCCTCAGTGGCAGCAGGTGTGATTCTGATCATCAGTGGATTCCTCTGCCTCATCCCTGTGTCCTGGACTGCCAGCGTTATCATAAGGGACTTTTACAGCCCTCTGCTAGTGGACGCCCAGAAGAGAGAGCTCGGGGCCTCCCTTTACATCGGCTGGGGGGCCGGGGGACTGCTGGTCTTGGGAGGGGCGCTTCTGTGTGCCAACTGTCCCCCCAAGGAAGATAGGAACCACTCTGTGAACTACCTGCTGAACAAGTCAGGGGGATACAGCAAAGACGCCTCATTGCGAGCTTCTACACCAACAAAGACGTATATTTGAGTTCCTTAAAGAGGCAAATGGAAATCTGGATGATGACTGTCTGATTTTGTCTTCATGAAGTAAGAAAAGGACACGCACAGAAAACTCACAATGAAGGAAATATGCACATCGTCCTCATAAAGGAATCAAACTTTGGATGTATGAAGATTGCTTTAAATCTGAATGTCAGCCTCAGTGATGAAGTATATCTATATCAGGATTGTTTGAACTATAGAAACTCTGTTTTACATGTGGGAATATGGGAACTGATTTGTTTCAGCTAAAGAAAAGGTCTTTTTTTTTATATTTGTGATTCTATTTTTACACAATAAATGCATTTTTTTTTTCTTCTCTCATGCTTCTTGTTTATATGCATTTCAAAAAATGCTCCCGTGGTTATTTGATCCAAACACTGGGGGAACCTGTTTGTCAGGTACTTACCACTGATTACTATCCAGGAAACAAACAGGGTGACTCAGGGACTTTGACTGTTGCTGGCTAATCTGTTTAGTAATGCATGACATTCTTTTTTTTTTTTTTTTTTTTTTCATCCAACAGTTCAGCACAAATATTCTGCCTCTGTAGGAAGGAAATAGATTGATTAATTAAAAGTTTTTTCCATAAAAGGCATGAATGTTAATAACAATCTCAAATTAAAGAGTTTGCTTTGATTTGTTTTTGAAAGATGTCAACACCGCCAACAACATGGGAGTGTTGTATTTTCTCATGTTATTATGCTGCAGATCAGAGACAAGTGTGTGTGTGTGGGGGGGGGGGGGTCAAATGACTCAGATGTCACAGGAAGAGTCTGAAGAGCTTGAAATGTTCAAAACAACAAATTGCCCCACTAAGCATTCCTGTGTCTCTCTCACTGGTTTCGTTTCCTCTACAATTACTATCTGTACTGTGAGTGCAACAGAGGGATAAAGATGGAGTATCTCCAAGGCCTACACTGATTCTTCCAACCAGTAACTTTAAGAGAAATTAAACATGTTGTTTGCCAAGGTGTTAATATTAATGTTACAATAATATTTGCAGTGTTTAACTTCTGTCTGGCTTGGATGTGGAGGTCAGACATCACTCCCACCTTTTCATTCTGTTAGTGGAATAGTGAGACTTTACCTTGTAACATGTAAGACACATGTAAAAAGCTAAAAGGATGATACATACCTCCAACATAAATGTTAAATCTGCAACACCACATAAACATTGGGATTTTTAAAAAAAAGTTGACGCCATTTCAACACTGACTACTCACAAACACCAGATCTACTTGTGAGCGTCGGTCTAAACTTAAATGGTATTTTCAACAGTTATTCTGTATCAGAAGATGAGAGGTTCTCTTCAGTTCCTCTTCCCAGATTCCTCACCTTAACTCAAGTCTTCCAGTCTTTTGTTACTGTGAGCAGATTAAACCTTGTCATTGTTTTTGATCTTTTGTGACATGCTGCTACCTAGTGGCCATTTGCTTCCATAGATTTTTATCTTACAACATCTGTTACAGGAAACAACTTTTCAAATTTTTCTTCCCACAATCCCTTGTTGTAGTTTGAAGTGAAAAGCCACACATGCGTTTGTGTTGACATGATGCAGAAGAACAAATTTCAGTTTTATACAATGAACAAAAATATAAACGTAACAGTTTTGTTTTGGCTCCCGTTCTTCATGAGTTGAAATTAAAGATATAAGACTTTTTATAATCACCCAAAAGGCTTCGTTCTTTCTCTCAAATATTCTTCATAAATGTGTTTAGAATCTGTGTTAGTGAGCATTTCTCCTGCATCAAGATATTCCGTCCACCTGACAGGTGCATCAAATCAAGATGCTGATTACACAGCATGATTACTGCACAGGTGTGCCTCGGGCTGGTCACAATAAAAGGCCACTCTAAAATGAGCAGGTTTATTTTGAAACTAGAATTACAGTCTTGTGGTTGTATGCCTCCACCAACAACCAAGTTGCAATCAAGTTCCTGACTTACAGCTCGAGCGTTTTTGCAGAACAATATGATGTCACAGTGAAGTTTACCTTTGACCAATTGGAAAGCCTATAAAATGTCATCACTTAATTTTATCCTCATAGACATTTGATTTAAATTGTGTCATAATTAGTGTATGAATTCATGAATTATGGCTAAAAACATGCTTTGTGAGATCACGGTGACATTTGACCTCTGAACAACAAATTCTCATCGGTTCATCCTTGAGTCCAAATGAATGTTTGTGCCAGATGTAATCAAATTCCCTCTGGATGTTGATATGATATGATATATTGCATTCACAAGAACGTGAGATCACTGTCGCTGACCGTTTCCCACAACAATCAAATCAGTTCATCTTTAATTCAAAGTTAATGTTTGTGCCAAATTTGAACCAATTCCCTCAAGTTGGTTTTTCAAGAGGCTAAAACCGTGTTTTGTGAGGTCACAGTGACCTCGACCTTTGACCTTTGACGACCAAAGCCTAATCAGTTCATCTCTGAGGCCATGTGGACAATTTGTGCCAAATTTGAAGAAATTCCCTCAAAATGTTACTGAGATATTGCAGCATTAAAAGACATTTAGTAGGTACTGAACTGTGTGACTTGTGGGGCTGTGGATCACAAAATGAGTCAGTATCTGGTGTGACCACCATTTGCATCATGGAGTGCAGCGCATGTCCTTTGTACAGAGTTGATCAGTGGCCTGGGGAATTTTAGACTGCTCCTCTTCAATGGTTATGCAAATTTGCTGGATATTGGCAGGAATTGGAACATGCTCTTGTACACGCAGGGCTGGAGCATCCCAAACATGCTCAATGGGTGACATGTCTGGACATGTCCTGTGACCACACAGGACATGCAAGAACTGGGATATTTTAAGCTTTATTATTATTAAGCTTTTCATTAAGGAATGAAACAGATCACGGAGCAAAATGCTGTGTCCTGTTAACTGTTCACTTCTACCAGCAAAGTGTCAGGATGTGATAAAAGGTCAGATCGCATCTGTCGATTCTGAATAAAACCTTGATCTGTTTTTGTTCCAGGGTGTGAGAGAGTCTGCTCACTGTCCATGGCTCTGCAGGAGCTGGGCATCAGCCTCTCCATGATAGGTGTTGCTGGAACCATCCTGATCTGCGCCCTGCCAATGTGGAAGGTGACGGCATTCATCGGCACCCATCTGGTGGTCATGCAGGTGTTCTGGGAGGGTCTGTGGATGACCTGTGTCAGTGAGTACACAGGTCAGCTGCAGTGCAAGCTTTACGACGCCCTGCTGGACCTGTCACCAGACCTACAGGCAGCCCGCGGCCTCATCTGCATCAGCCTGGTTCTGGGATGTTTGGGATTCCTCATCTTCCTCCTGGGCGCACGCTGCACCAACTGCCTGAGCCACCCGGGTATAAAAGCTCGGGTGGTGCTGAGCTCTGGGGCCATCTTCTGCCTGGCATCCTTCACCACCATAGTCGCTGTTTCCTGGACGGCCAACTCCATCATCAGTGACTTCCACAACCCGCGTGTTCCTGAGGTGCTGAAGAGAGAGCTTGGAGCAGCCATATATATTGGCTTTGTGACCTCTGGGCTGCTGTTCTGTGGGGGAGCCATTCTGTGCACAAGCTGCCCCCCACAGAGGGCCAGGTTCCCCTCCAGTGGGTACACACGGGCCAGGATCCCCACACACAACAGCTATGCCATCAAGAACTATGTGTGAAGTGAGGATCGAGGGTGGAACACACACATCTTACACTGTGTGATGTAATGCAATTGACCATAAAGATATTGAAAAACATAAAGCAATATATTAAAGGTCCCATATAGTATAAAGGTAGATGTCCATGTGTTTGATTATAAAGCAGGTCTAGGTTCTATATTAATACTGTGAAAGTATCAGATCCTCAGTCCACAGAGAAAAGTACGCAGCCTGTATTAAGAAACTGAGCTTTAAAACCAGCCGTCAAGACTGTAACTTTGTGATGTCACAACAAAGCAGTCCCCACACTCAGCCACGCCCCAAGCCCCGCCCACCTGAACCCACCATCCACCATTGCGGTAATTGGTTCCTCTGAGTGTTTACCTGAAATCTGCTATATTTTTATTTGATTTCTGAAAACCCAGTCAGCCAATCAGAAGAGAGGCTCAGAGCTTCCTCTCTTCGGATCACTGACCAGTAGTTACTAGAGCTCCAGAGAGAACCCTGACAGAGGAGACGTAAAACTACATTAAGATGGTTTTTGGTTCCACAAATATATATTCTAATGGATCAACACTTCAAATAAAACATCAGAAAAGTGTAAAACATGGGACCTTTAACATTTGTATACAATGAAAAGGATTGCAAAGGTATGTTTTACAATACATTCCAATATGTTTTCAGTTTCCTGCAGGATGGGACACAACGATTTGAACACAGTTACTTTAATTCTGTCCACAGCGGTGTCAACACCAGCCATTTGAAGATGTTTGTAAGATTGAAGTGTTGTTATGATGTGCAGATGAATTATTATTTACGGTGGCCCTGAGAGCTCAACACACTGCAACTTAAGAAAACACAAGCAAACAGGCAAAACACAAACAAATTCAGAAAACATCTTCATCAATTTGACAACACATGTGCTGCACATACTCACAACACAACGGAAGTGTTTCCAGGGGACACAACGAAGTGGTGAACTTGGCTGGGATGCACTAGATGTCAAGTCAAAAGCATTGAACAACAATTGTGTCTGGATGTATTATAATACATTCATGCACTTTTTTGAGTCAGGGAAAGAGAGGGGATGATATGCAGCACAGGGCCACTGCGGTTAGGACTATGCCTTCAAGGTGCGCAATCTACAAGGTGAGACCCTGAGGCGCCCCCTCAACACTTTTATGTGTCTCCTGCAAACACCTCTGTCGTGTTGTGAGTATTTGCAGAACATGTGTTGTCAAATTGATGACGATGTTCTCTGAATTTGTTTGTGTTTTGTCTGTTTGTATGTGTTTTCTTAAGCTGCAGGGCGTTGAGCTGTCAGGGCCACTGCAGAAATATATTTCACTGTAAGTCTGATACAGCTATGATTAACTGGCAGCTTCTGAAATAGCTGCAGTCTGTCCCAGTGACTCATCAGATGGACTTTCCTCATCTCATGAAATATGCATTTATTCCTTTCACAAAGAAAACTAATGAATAGCTTTGTAGCTCAATGTGCATGCATTTCGATTCAGTATTAAACTACATTAATCATGTTTTAGTCACCGTTCTTTTATGTGAAATTATTAGCAGCCAACATTTGCCGTTCTAAAATCTTGTGTGCTTATGAATTGCATCTTAGATTTCAAAATAAATGCTGCAGTGTAAATATGTGCCAGTTAATGACTATTCTGCATTGAGAACTCCAGTAGTCATCAACACTCCTACATGTGAGAACATGACTTTATATCAGTAAGAACTTGAGGCTCTTTAAATCAAATTTTCTCTCAGAAAGACGACCCAGTGGCTGAAAAATCACAGCACAGTGGAACCTTTGTTTTCCTCCGGGAGAAAGGGATTGTTTTGAAACCATGGCAAACAGAGGGACTTCCCTCCTCCACCCAGCTACAGCCGTGCCCTGCCTTCTTCTTTTCATGAATACCAAAGAACCGGTTTGTCCTTTCTGAACAGACATGCAAAATGGACAGACACAGGCACAGACACAGACACACACACACACACACACACAAACACATACACACACACACACACACACGCACATACACGCGCAAATTGTCTGTGCCTCACTCATGCACACACGTTAAAATAACACCCCACCCCAGTGCGTTGTGCTGCCAGCTGTTTCTGGTTAGGCAGTTGGGCCTGCAGTGAAAAGGAGGAGCAGAGAGGCCGGCCGGAGTCATGGAGCGGCAGCTGGAGCTCGCTGCCCTCGGTCTGGCCTTCGCAGGGTGGCTTTGTGCCATTCTGACACGCTGTCTGGCCCTGTGGAAGGTGAGCGGCACCCTGGACAACACCACGGCCTCTCTGCCTGCCTACTGGGACGGGGTGTGGCTGGAATGGGATCACTGGGACTTGGCCCACGATGGCAGCCTGCACTGCTCTTTCTACCAGTCTCTCATGTCTCTTTCTGGAAGTTTTCGGACGTGGAGAGCCCTCATCATGGCCGCCATTGGAGCTGGGGCTTTCGCTGCGGTGATTGCTGCGGTGGGGGCAGTGTGGTTCCCTAAGCGTGGCCAGATCAAAGTGTTTTCTGGTGCTCTCTTTGTTTTGTCTGGAATCCTGCTGCTGGTTCCCACAGCATGGACGTGCCATCACAGCAGTCAGCCACTGGAGGGTGCTGTGCTGCTGAGAAGAGACTGGGGACCTGCTCTCTACCTCGGCTGGATCTCCTTTGCTTTGATGCTGGTCGGAGGGGTGTTTCTCACCACCAGATGCCCCACCAGTGAGAGGCAGGTACAGCAGCATGAAGGGAGCAGGTGCCCGAATCTAGAGGAGGAGGCTAACCACCCACTGAACAGGATCAACAGGACTACGTTCACACACAGCCAGTATGAACGCAGATCAGAGCCCATCTGAGGGGGCTGTGTTGTAATATAGAACTGAGTGTGACTGATTAAACTGGAATATCATCAATATGTGAAATGGCTGTGGATGGATTTAACAGCAGAGGAAAAATATTGAGTAATGATGCACTGGTTTAATAAAGTGTGGATTTAACATTAGAGAGCACAGGAACGTGTCATTTAACTAGTTGTATTGATAAAGGTGTGTGTAGGACTTTGATTTGAAGTGTTTGTTTCATTTCTGTTGAAGCTAACACACTATTTATGCTGCGTAGCATTGCTTTGCATTCAATTCTCACATCCCAATTTAATACCACTGCAACATGAAACTTCTGAGCTTGTTTGACTTGATGCAATAATTGATACTGAACTGATTCCCATATTACTGTCTACTGAGACATAAGACATTACTGTTTGAGTGAGTTCATACTGTTCCTAGAACTAAATACTGTACATATGTTACACTACATTATAGTATATTATATATATATATATATAGTACAGCAGTTTCCTATTTGTTTTGTTTGTTGAGCAGCAAATGTGTTTACAACTGAGATGAGACTGATGAGTCTGTGAAATAAAGCTTTGAAATGAATCAGGGTTTAGAAGTTATTTGACGTTACGCCACAGAGCACTTGGGGAGGAAATAAGGTGATCAGTAATTTTGACTGATACTGTTACTGAGTATTTTTCTTGGAAAAAAAAACGTATCAGATGTGAAGCTGGGCTTTACAGAATTCTATTTACAGATCTTCGCCAATTTCTAGCAGGTATTTCATGAGATAGTCAGAACGATGCACTTTACAGGCTGAGGAACGCAGCACACTTTGTCCAGCGTGAATTTACAGTGGAAGTCCAAGTTAAAACCTGAGAGGGAAACATCTGTTTTTCCTGTTTCCTTCTATTTTTGGAACATATTTGGTCATGGTGTCCTGCAAAACTGTACTGTACAGTCATAGCATTAAAATGCAGAATTTAACTCCACAACATCTGCAGGCAAAAACAACAAGTTCAGTAACGCTGGTAATTCATTATTCATGTTGCTTTCACCAATGGTAGTCGAAGCTGATGAGACCCAATCAGGGAGCGACTGTGGGAGCCTACATCATCAACCCCAAAGGTCTCAGTTTCTGCCCATCCAGACTAAAACACAACCCTGGAGTTTTCAAACTAAAACATTTCCAAAAGTCTCTGTTTTAGGTGCTGGACAAGTAGTGTGGACGGTAGGCGTAAAAGCGTATTCGTGTGGATGTAGCCTGTGATCTCATTTGTTTTCAAAACAGCTGTGTGCATATCAAGAAAAATCACATGTGCATATAGAAAACAGAAAATATTTTGTTATATATTTATTTGCTACAAAGCAAACCTATTCATTATGACAAAATATGTATTATTAGGTTGAAGAAATTAGTCATAAAATTGTGATATAGAGCATAGCTGCATGGCACACAATGTCTGATGAGAAAGCAGAAACGACCTTGTCCAGAAGTACTGCTAATGGTGCAGAGGTACTAGCATAAAAACTTTAAATAAATAAGTCAGTGCAGGCCATCCGATCTGTTTACTGACCTACAAGTTTAGGTATAAATGTTCAAACGCATTTTCAAAATACATTCCACCCAGATTACAAATAGAAAAAAAACTCTATATAGTCAAATAAATCCTTTAAACAAAGAGAAGCTGGGAAATAGGAATGCCTGAAATTAGCCTGAATCTGATCGTATATATAGTCTCTTGAATGAGTTTGCAGTTTGTTTGCTTATAGTGTGATTAAGGTGCAGAGTCCTGACTGGTCGGGTTACTATAATTTCTCATCTCCCTCCTCCACATCCCTCAGACTGAGCACCTCCAGAGAGCCTCTGCCTTTAGTCTCACAGCGGATCAGCTCATCGATCTCCCTGAAGCAGCCGGGATCCACCAGACACACCTGAGGGGGAGGAGGAGGAAGGAGGCGCAGAAGAGGAACCAAGGCATCAGTTCAGTTTAGGCATCAGGGAAGATTTTACATAACAGGTGGTAGAGAAAGTAAAAGGTATGCACAGGTCACATTGGATTTCATGATTTTAGAAAAAACACAACTTTAATGTCATGGCTGGATAAAAAAGTCAAGTTTTAAATTTAGCAGAATTTAACTAATGTCTGATTGTAACTCCCACTGCAGAGATCCACAGTCTTAAAAATCTATTTGTATTACTCAGTGACTGGAGAGATCACTCAATCACACTCACAAACACACTGCCATTTTAAAAAAACCTCCCTGCTCCTCACCATTTCCAGATTCTCATCAAAGTCCTCACTCTCCACGACCTGCAGGAGCGGCTTCAGCTTCTCCTTCAGCCTCTTGGCCTCTTTGGCTGGCAGCATCAACCGCAGCCTCATGTGGGCTCTCTGGATCTCCATGGTCTCCTTCAGCTGCCGGATCACTTCCAGAGCCTGGGAACAGGACAAGAGTACAGTAAGATCATCATTCCCTTTAATGAAGGCCTGAATAAAGTGAAGGGAAAAACATCACAGACTCTCACAGTCTGATTTCTGCTGCAGAGTCAAAACCTATGTCAATAATAATAAACGCCATCTCAAGAGTGTTGAATTAAAGGCATCACTGCAAACTGTAATGACAAGAGCAGTCACATTACTATCTGATTTTTCCAGGTTTAGACACCAACAAGAAGTACTATGTCACATTCAATTAATTATCAGATTTTGATTTTGAAGTAGATATATTATTGTGCTTTGAGACTCATACATCAAATGTCATTGGGATCCACTAGTCTGGAGTGAGCTACAACTAATATCTTCGCAGCTAACTAACTACAAAAATCACACTCCAGGTGAGACAGATGATACATTTTATTGTATTCACTCATTTATGGACATAGCTCAATGTGTCTATTTATTGTTGGCAGTGTCTCCAACAGACTGAAAATGTATCTGAGGTAGTCAAAGCATTGGACAACATCGTAATATTCCCAAGCGAATTTAACAAAAAATCATTGTACCATGCTACAAACTTACACGACAATGCACCTTCTCAGTGGACATTTCAAGCAGTTGGCATATTCAAGTGCAGACATACTTTTAAAACAACATATAATAAATATATTAATACATTCAAACATAATAAAAATAAATCTTCAGGCCAAATATTTGTGTAACTGTAGTTCTGAGAAATTCTGCAGATGGGAAACACTGTTTTGTGTTGTTTATAATCATAAGAGCAAACCAAAGCCGTATGCATCTCTTCACCTGCTGCTTAGTGCTCTTATTGGCCTTGACAGAGTAGTGGATGTCCTTCATCGCCCGCTCAATGAGATTGACTGTGTAGGGCCTCTTGGTCTCAGGATTTACACACTTTTCTGCCACGGTAGTTGCAATGTCCCTGAACATCGTCTCCAGCTGGGACTGCCTCTCCTTGTCTGACACTTGGAGCTCTCCCTTGGCCAGGATCTGTCCAATAAATAAATTAGTAAATAAGTAGAGGAAGTAAAAAAACAGCAGATAAAAGGTGACGGAGTGACAATGAATATTGCACAGGACCGTGCTGCCAGGGAAACATTTAGGAACAGGTTCTTACCTGTTTACAGATTTCTGTCAGATCATCTGTCCCAAAAGCGTTAGTCAAATCGTCCTTCTTTGCCACCTGACCTTTGGACACATTAACAAAAACAGAGTGTGTCTGCAAAACCTCATCCAGGTCTTTCTCTCTGGAAGAAAAAACACAATGTTTGGACATTCAGACCTTTGCTCTCGCTGGTCTGGTATTCGAGAGGCACAAAACTGACAGACTAGTGGATTTGATTGGTTATTTATAAAGCAAAACAGCAAATGTCAGTTCAATCGGACGAATAATAAACAAGATAATCTAGTAACTCATGTTAGTAAAATCATGTTAACCGTGCGGGTGTTGACATTTAACGTTACTCACGCTCCTGATCTCCAGCTCATCACTTTATTCTTGTAGCAGGCGATTTCAAACCGCTTCCCTCCTTTTTTCATCCTAACCACCGCCACATTTGTCAGCCGTATCTGATTTGTTGGCGTAAATATAGACATATTTCTAATTATCGATAGAAACTCTGCCCAGGTTTCTGCTGCCAAGAAATATCCAAGTGCGCTCCCAATGAGTGTCCCCTGTGAAACAGCAAAGATAAACAAGTGTTCCGTTAGTAACTTGTGATGATTAGAAATAGTAGAAATTATTTATTAAACGATTTCATTTTTTTAAAGAAAAAAATGCGGGAATCAAAAAACTGATGGGTATGTGAATTTTGGCAATGTATCGATATATATTGTTTGTCACAATTCTGCTTTGAATGTCGCATTGACTGCTACTACATCGACATTAGAAAAGACTACACTTCCCAGCATGCTCAGTGGCCAAAAAACATGGTTGCACACAACATCAAGTGCATAGGACTCTGTACATAGTATCTGCAGCAATGCTAAATTTCTTCTTAGTTATTTTGCTTTTCTTAAGACACGTATCTACCTCGGATACTAAAGGTGAGCCTATTTGTTGTTTTAACGTAACCTCACGTTTACGTTATATTTTAACTAACGTTAGTAACACTGCTAGCTAGCATGTATTGCTAGCCAGTCACCCGCCTTTGGTTTGCAGCAGGTGACCTAAGTTTGGGGTTTAACCCTGTTGTCTTGTCGCTTGTTGGTGGATTAGCCACTGTCTGGTACAACTGTTCCTGCGTTGCAATACACGTAGCGGTGTTAGCGAACCTTTACAGTTCATTACTCCTCTGTAAAGAGAACTCGGTTTGATGCCTCTCCTCTCTCCAGTCTCTCAGAATGAACACAGACCCAGTGAGAGCTATTTCATGTCGATATGGCACAACAGGCTGTACCTGTACTCAGCTGCTGCCCTTGTCTTCGGGATCTGGTTCTCCCTGAAGATGGCACTGAAGAAGGTGAGTGGTCTCTTGCTGATATCCCCCTTCACTCCTTTGTGGTCTGTTAGACATATTGTGTTGTTATTCTTCTTATAAGTGCAGATTTCTGTGGAGCTGTGAAGTGTTTAGGTAGTGCTCATGTTTCCAAAATGTAAAATACATGTCTTCCTCTTTATGCTTTTAGAAAAGCTTCTCCAAGGATATTGGCCCCTGGGTCTACAAAGCTGTGAAGAACAATGACAGCTCTGACAGAGACACTGCAGTTCATGTGTCAGGAGTTAAAATCTTCTACGGCTCACAAACTGGAACAGCAAAGGTGCAGATGTTGTTTCCTGAATACTTGAACATCCTCACTGGCCCATGATGTTAATATGTACACAAGATGATGCTATAGTTTGATGTAAAATCCAGAGATACAGACTAATAGTGTTATGTAAACATTTGTAATTCAAAATTGCACACATAATATGAAATTGAAATGACTGACTGCTTACACATAGTAAATATACCATTCTGAGATGTCTGATAAGCATCAAATGAGACTCTTCACTTGTCCAGGCCTTTGCAAAAGAGCTGTCAGAGGAGGTGAAGAATTTGGGGATACCAGCTGAAGTGACTGACATGAAAGACTACGATCCAGATGATCAACTTGCTGATGAGGTAAGCCAAGTGCAAACAAAAGATGCTTTTTCATCTAATTAAGGGCAGAAAGATGGGAAAAAAAATAAAGCAGTGTGTGGAGACATATGTTTCTCAACTTGAGAGGGTCAGTTTAAAAAATCATGTCCCCATACAGGAGCCTAAACACCTGCAAACGTTAGAGCTGCTCCTCAGTGACGAACCCATAACTTTGTCATTGTATAAATTAAGTGACTAATTTATGCATCAGTTAATTGTTGCAGGAAGTGTAGTGTATATACTGTCCTCAGAAGTTTCTCGGGACTGTTAATTAAATCTCTGAAATGTAACTTTAAGCCAATAAGATTTTGCACTGTGCACAAGGCAAGGCTTAATTAGAACAGAATTAATCAAAGTATAATAAATCATAACTGTTATTTATTGAGAGCTTGACAACAAACAGTACAGTAATCCTGGACTTCTGTTGCAGCTCAGCCTTTTCTTTCATTTTTCACTGATTCAATTCTTCAGACGGCTGGCACAGGGGACAAATGTGTTACACTTATCCTGCTCAGCTGTAGAAAGATGGATTATTTTCATCAGTGTTCCCTTTTTATTTTGTGGGCACAGGCGCTGTGTAGTGCATTGAGAGATGAATAGGAGATTGGTTGGCTGGCACACAACAGGAGATAAAATAGCTATTTATTCAACAGGACAGTGATACAGTTTTCACAGTGATGGAAAATCTCCACAAGAGGAATGACCACAGGCACCAGTCGGTCCCTAGATTCAGCTGTTCCTCAGTGCATTGACTCTCACTGGCTAGCCATCAGTCAAGAAGACAGTATGTGTCTGGCAACTTACACCCTGTTAGACATGAGACAAGTCAGCTGTCTCACTCCTGAACGTTGCTGTTTATATCCACAGGGCTAACTAAACAATGTGTGTGTGTGTACCTATTTTAAATTTAATCTTTCTGCATTAAATTTTAGTCTTGGGGACCAGTTAGCAAAATCAGTGTTGTGTAATTATTTATCAATTAGCTTCTATAAGTAATAATTGCTGAAAACATGGTAAGTCGCCTGTCCTGGAGCAGCTTGTTCATGGTGCTCTAGTGCATTGCAAGATTTGTCTTTGGTTATGACTTAAAGTAGGCGTGGACATTTTTTCTGAAGTTTCCAAATGATTTAATCATTTTGTCTCTCGAGTCCAAATTACCATTGGTGTTTAACATTGTTCAAAACATCCAGGAAAAGGTCTGAGTTCAAGAAACACTACATGTACAAATGTATCCTTCTCTGAGATGCTCTTAATTCACTTTTTCACTGTCTTCCATTGTTCATTTCTTCATTCAGTGCACCAGTAAGTCAGTCTGTGTGTTTCTGGTGGCAACATACACTGACGGACAACCCACAGAGAACGCTGAGTGGTTCTGTAAGTGGCTGGAAGAGGCATCCACTGACTTCAGATATGGCAAGACCTACCTGAAAGGCCTCAGATATGCAGTGTTCGGTCTTGGAAACTCTGTCTATGTTGGCCACTATAACACGGTGAGAAATGGTTTCCATATTAATTTTTGTCAGTTAATATAATAATGATAATAATAATAATAATGTAATACTGCTACGTTGTATTATTAGAATCAGTTGAAGAGTATCCAAAGCCACAAGTTTGACAGCTGTAGCCTGGCAGTGGGAAACATGATCTGTATCTAAACTTGACTTCACATGCAGCTCACGCAGCATTCAGTAACTGGTACAAAAGCCAAGAATGACCAAACTTTATTTGTTTAAACCCTGTTCAACCATATTTTCTTTTTCCTTCTCCAGGTGGGTAAAAATGTGGACAAGTGGCTTTGGATGCTGAGTGGCATGCGAGTCATGACCAGGGGAGAGGGTGACTGTAATGTGGTGAAGAGCCGTAACGGCAGCATCCAGGCAGATTTCCAGGCCTGGAAGGTCAAGTTCCTCAACCGCCTGCAGGCCCTGGCCAAGGGTGAGAAGAAGAGCTGCAGCGGGAACTGTAAAACTGGAGGCTCTTGTAAGAATAAGAGGAAAGACGGACACATGGAGGAGGAGGAGGAGGAGGAAAAGGCAGCTCCACAGAATCCCAGCCCTGAGGTAATGACAAAAAGAAACTGAAACTGAATTTAGATCTCTATTCTGTTTTACATGGCGCACTATAAACATCTTAATGGGGCAGTAGGTTGACTTATTATTTAAAAAGACTCCTTCAAGTTGAATAACTAACGTTCAGCCCCCTTTGTTGGCAAGTATCTGTCCTGCTGAAGTGTCCTTGAGCAAAACGTTGAAAGCTTTCAAGCTCTTGGATCAGTATACAATACATATATATGTATAAAATGCATTAAAACCTCTGTTGTAATAAAAAAGGATTTAGTAGCTTCTCAACAGAAATAAAACACAAAACAAAACTATGTTCATCAGGATTTGAACAGAATTAATTCTTTAATTCATTCACCACACACTATCACAACAATCCATAGCCCTGTTCTTGAAGGATATGATACAACACGGCCTTACTCCTGCCCACCACACTGTTAGATATAGACTCTGGGCTCGTCCCCCTTGTGAATACAAGAAGAAGAAGTGTGAGAAAGTGTGTAGCTGATATCTAATTACAAAATCGTCCCCTGGCTTATGATGATGCCTCTTAAAAGCAGAGGGGCACTTTAGATATCCAAGCAGCTCTTATCACTGGACGTGGACTGGCTGAGCTTACGGCTTCATGTTGTACTCCCAGCAATGTGATTAAAATCAGATAAGGACTCTAAATGCCTCAGGAAGAGGAGTGTTACTCACAGTTCATCAAGTCTGTATTTAGTGGCACAGATGTTGTGCATTTTGCATCGTCTCAGGAAAATGTTCTTCATGGCTTACATGCAATTTGTCATCTCTGTCATCACTGTCAGTCACGTCGAAATATGAAAATAGCTCCTTCATTTTTAACTAATCACTGAAATTAGAGATTTCTCTAGAAGACACGTACAAACACAGACATATAATATACACACACTCACACACTAACAGCTTTCGTACGCATCACAGCACACACAGATGACCAGTTGTCATGGTAGCGGGCACCTCAGAGCCAACTCTAGCTGAGACTCCGTCCCCTCTGTCTGCAGCACTCAGTGCACTCAGCAGAGGTGACATTCAACCGGAACCAAGAGCAGCTGAGGACTGTGGCGAGGGGACCATCATCTGTGATTTCTCCACCCAGTGTAACGCTCATGCATTTTTATCCTGCAGCCGCACACGTGGGCAGAAGCTTCGACACTGGGCGCACATTGTGATAAATCCTCTGAAACACCATAAACATGCATATGGTTTTCTTATTTAATCAGGCAGAGGATAATGATGTGCACTAAATTCTTTCCATATGGGCTCCCCTGCTCGAGCACAGACAAGTTTATAATTGGTTATGGGCTGGAACATATGTGAATCTCTGTACTTTGGAGAATCATTTACACTCGTCTGTCTCATCGTACCCTTGACCCCTTTTTTTTTTTCTAATAATTTTTTGTGGTTTTTGTTCTCTTACATCTTGTTTCAGGACGCTCTGATAGAATCCAGCAGTGATGAGGA